TACCCCCCCCCCCCCCAATATGTTTGTGAGTTTTATACGAATTCTATGTGGTACGTAATTGTACGATTAATATACTAATTTGAAAAATAAAGTTGTAACATCAAGTATAATTAAATGATAACAGCTACGGCATGGTTTCGGTTATAATTACAAGTCAGGTAGCTAAAAATATAATAATAATAAATAATAATATAATAATATAAACTCAATGATCTATGATAATAACTTATTAAAAACATGTTCAGCGGTTTTATGCTATCGGCGTGGTTTTATTATCACTAGAGAAACATACTTGACAAATTAATCTTAGACCGTAAATTCTTATTATTATTATTATTATACTATAACTTTTGAGTAAAGTATATGTAAATACAAAATTAATATAATGAATATAAATTATTTTCCAGTATTCGTTGTCTATAAATGAAAGTTAAATAATTTAAAGATTTCAGTCATAAACTAACTTAACCTTACCCCCTCCATCCAACCAAACACTATCCAAAATTGAATTTTTTTCAAATTCATAACTCCTCCTACCCCCTCGAAAATAAATCTTGGTTGTGCCACTGACAACAGTTGATAATTTTATGAAGCAAAATTATGATGACAGCACTTTTTTAATTGGATGTTATAAACTAAGAATATATTAATAACATGAGGTGTACCTAATCAATTATCAATTCAATATTACTATTTTATTTTCTTATTGAAGTTATTTAATATCGACGCTAATGATTTGAAAAGATTATATCTGAAAGAAGTTCAATTAACATGTTTTGTTAAACTTAAATTTAAAACTGTGTTAATTTGTAACAACAAAATAAATAACAATTTGTTCGTTTTTTTCAACACAAACTATTGAGCTTTTTTATGAATCCAAAAAATATTTTTCTATTACATACCGTACGTAACAAAAAGATAAAGGTACAAGATTTAATAAAAAGTCTACGATTATTTTTAACTTGCAATTTAAAATTATAATTACAACAAAAAATACAATCGTAAATAAAGGAAAAAAGGTTGTAATATTTACTTATACATATTTCGTATATTTTCCCGTTTTTTCTCCATTTTTTCTCGGTTTTTTCCATTTATTGGGAAAACTCCTGGGAAAATCTAAAAATGGCCTTCTTATATAAAGTACCAGCCCAATTAGATTTCCTTCTAGAAAAAGTGATATACATGAAAATTGAAGCAAAATATCTGGTAGAAAAGTTGTCCATAAAAAAAAATGAAAAAATAAACGCTATTTTAAAACCAATATATTACTCACTTCACTCAGAATTTAAAACTGTGTGAGAAATGTACTTAAGCACAGATAATAATTTGTATTTAAAAAAAATGTAGATAACTACTTATATACATTAAAATATTATTAACAATTCAAATTACATTCAAACAATTTTATTACAATTAAAACAACAAGAAAATGTTGTCTAAACCGTTTTGTTGAATGACTCATTTCACTCCGTTGCATTTTGGCCATTAGAATATTAGATATATTAAGATAATAATAAACCAACTTAATAGTATTATAGGTACGATAGCGATTAATGTACATGCGACTAGAGAGAGACGATGAGAATTATAATTTATAATATTTGCTTATCTGAATATTAATATTGGTTAAATCATTATTCTAATCTTTTAAATTTGAATGAATGGTTATAGTGAATAGGTACTTAAAAATTTAATACCTATCTATAAGGCTAGATATAAAGAGCTCTGGATCGAATTGTCATCAGTTGGAGATTTAGAATGTATTATAATTTGTAAGAATAATTATGCTATACATTTAATGTTTTAACAATCTTAACGCAAACAAATGATAAATGGTTATATTTTTCAATAGGTGCTCTTTAATATATACTACGATTATTACGAATGCAGATAACTGAGATATATACTAATGTATCAATATTAGCAAGGCTGGATTTAGGACTAGATTACCTAGGGGTACTATGACTTCAGGGAACGCCGTGGCTAGCAGAACTTTCGAATTTATTTTAGTTACTTATAATTCCTATCAGCAAATTTAATTTACCATTTACTAGAAGAAAAAATAAATGCTATATAATTGTTAGAAATATTGTCGGATATTGATACTGATATTAAATAATGCTTATTTTTGTAAATTAGTTGTTTTCTGTTATAAAATTATAAAGAATGGCTCGGAATTAGTCGAATATTATTCAAACATTTGATAAGTAAAACCTAACTTTACACTATATTATGCATGATAATAATATTACGTATTTATAATATTTTTAATACGCTCCCTGTGAGAGAGGATCAGAATAGTCCCACTGTACCATTGACCTGTCGTCAGAGCCGCAAATGTGGTTGCATCAGGTTGATAGCCGGTGTAGAATTCTGTCAAAAAGTATAAAGGATTTTAAACAAAATTTTAGCAGATTGCCCCATACCGGATATGCGCGGAAACAAAAGGTAAGAAAGTGTCATGTTGCATGATATTTTACAGATGATTTAGCTTTGATGAGAGAAACTCTGGAATAAGTTAACAGTAAGGTTAAGAAATAAAGGGTAGCATTTGAAGGATAAGGGACAAAGAATAAGTAGAAGTAAAACAGAGTATGAGTTTGGAAGAAAAGAGTATGACAACTAACGACAATAAGCAGTTAAAGGCGAGGTAGAAAGTTTTAAGTACCTAGGATCTTTTGTACAAAATAACGATAACTTTCATGAGCATGTGAAACATAGTATTATGTGATCAGATAAATTGAGAAGTGTAATATTATTATTTTGAGTAAAGTTGAGTAATGTTTTTAGGTTGATTTTAAAATACTTTTAAATTAATCTATTATATATTTTTAAATAGATATACAAAATTGTTAAATCAATTGGAGAGGTCTCGACTCTTATTCCATCTATGTTCTACAAAGTTAGGGCTTATTTTTGATTAGCCTTGGGGCGCTTTTTAAGTAAATCCGGCCCTGAATATTAGATGATTCTTTATAGAAGTTTTTTATTATTACTAGTTTTAGATACAACTGGTACATACGTTAGTATGGACAAATTGTGTTATTTTGTAGGTAAGTAGAATAATAAGCCGTACCTGAGGAAAAGGAGAACTTTGGGGATTGACTCTCCCTCCGAAAATTGTTCATGTTATATTATGTTGTGGGAAAATAATTATTTTAGTTAATAAAATTAGAATACCTCAAATGTTTAGTTTACATCCTCTCCTTCTTCCCACCAAATATATTATCCAGTAACGGCATTGGTAGAACTGGAGTGCTTAAATAAAGATCTATTTACCTATCTTTCTACCTTTATCTAAGCACTCTAGGAAGAACCATTGATTTTAGAATTTACTAATAAGATGATGCTAATATTAAACTCTAAAATCATGGCCAGTGGTAGAATGTATAACATCGTAGGTATTTGTGTAAGTTGATATACCTACTAGTGATGGGCACTTACATATATCGAATAAAAACTATTCAATGTGTTCGAATAGTTCGAATCCGATCAACTATCAAAGAGTTCGATAATGCCCATCATCACTAATACCTACTCATATTAAGCATAGGCACAAATAAGGGGAAGTTTAGGGGCTTACCTACCTAAATAAAGGCCTTATTAAGTAAATACTAAATATACATCATAAATAATAAATATTTTGCTTTGGTGTTACGATTATGGTAGAGTAAATCCGAAGAATTTGCGATGGGGGCAAAATGCATCTTCTAGTTTACGGTGCGTTATTTTGTTATTATTTATATACTTAGTATTCTACCAAAATACCTACTAAACAAGCAATAAGGCTTATTTTTAACTTAGGAGATGGGCTATTTATGTATTGGAAGGAACTTTTGAGGAGAATCGATTGATGTTGGATGAAACGTGGTTCGTTCCTTCAAAACTCCTTATTATTGCGTCATTGAAGGTGGTGGTGTTGGTACTTAATAATTTGGGTAACAATTATCATGATGTATCTGCTATAGGCGCTATGGACTATAATATTTATTTAAATATAAAAACTACTTATAATATTTATCAAATGTACCTATATTTTCGATAAATTAAAATTGGGACATTCTCATTGAATTTGAGTAATAATAATAATACAATTAAAATGAATTTCTTAGTTAGTTGGGTTCAAATTTTAATTTAATTGTTTTATTTTGATATTTTAGATTGTATAAATAGATAAATAGGTACCTACCTACCAAAACACTAGTAAATATATTAACAATGTGTACCGTGTGATTTAGGAAATCCGAATATATAAATAACACAAAGTACACCTTATCGATTATCGATAATTTTGTGTTCTAGCACGGTCTAATGTCAAGTCAAGGTGATTTTATTTAAACTACATAGATAAACAATCTATCAAGTTATATTAAGATTTTAACAAGTATCTATGTATGTGTGAACAGATAGGTATTTAGGTATTTACCTACATTTACATAATAAAAGTTATATTTATGTAGGTACCTATTTTGAAATGATGCTAAATGAGGTCTTAGTATCTAGGTATGTAAGTCCAAGTAATAGTTAAATAATAAGTTGCTAGGTATTATAGATATACAATAATACAAAATACTTATAAAATATAAAGTATTCTCTATTCTTAATTCTATCTAGAGATAATATACTTATTACTTAGTCTCGTTTTTATATACTAAATGTCAATCCTTTTTTTCAAGGGGGTAGGGGGTTTTCTAAATTTGTTGTCAACTAATTTGGTGGGTTTTTTTTCAATTATATTTTTGTTTTGAACAAATTTCGGATCCCAGGATCCCCCTAGTTACGGTCTCGTGTCCATATTATGAATGTAAAATCCGAGATCGTGTCCAGAAATTTAAAATATTAACATCGAGTTTGAATAATTAAAAAATTAAATTTAAAATAACAATGTTAATCAAGTTACAGAATTTTGTCCTTATCATTTATCAACCCTGTGTTAGTCATAGATAATAATAATATATAGTATTAAATGTAATGCGTATTACGATTTTTGCGACTGCGCACTGCGTATTTCTTATTCTGTCAATGTGAGAAAATCGTAAAAAAATAAATAACAATATTATCAGTTTCTAAAATTTCTCTAGCTGAACTCTGAACGACAAACGTCGGCGGACAGCGGTAGTGGTAACTTGTATTAATTTCTGTAAAATGTGAATCACGTTCAATCAAACATTTAGACGTTTTAGTTGTTCCATGCTATTAGCCGTGGGAGGTTGTTTGTTTTTGCACCTTAAACTATTGTGATATATTTTATGGATATATACAGGTATTTCTCATTTTATATTAGAATTTTTTTACCGGTTTTTATGAAATACATTGTTGACTATACAGGCACAAGTGAAGATATTGTTTTATCAACTGTTTTACATTTATAATACTTATTGATACCATGAGTGTCGATGTGAGCCACAATGTCCATACACGACTACAGGTTCACAACTGTGTCGTGCAGCCTTTGCTTACAGGTACAAATTAAACCATTTATGGATTTATTATTTTGCTATTTATATATACTATTTTTTACTATCTGTATGTGTGTAATATGTTTTTTATTTTTATTTGATGGCCTATCATACAATTTTTCAACAAATTTCATCACTTATACAAATTAAGACTAATTTAAAAAATAGTAGATTAGGGTTTATATAGATGATGAACTAACTTGAGTCTTTCATATTTTCTTGGGTTGTATCTATTTACAATGTGCTAATTAGCTAAACTTATTTGTCTTGATGACCTATAAGCCAAGGCCAAAGTCAGTTATTGGCACTCTAAAATTTCATGGATATGATACTCTTTATAATTTAAACAATCAATATAAATGTATATAATGCATGTTTAAAATAAAATAAATAAATTCTTGAATAACTACAATATCTAATTAATAAGTATTTCTATATTTTATAATTATATTGACAAATTCAGTAGCTTAAGATTTCATAATTACCTACTTATTATTAATAAAATAATTCTGTGTTAAGTAGAGATATAATTACAAAAATTTGTTTATTTATTCGTTATCTATAATTGTTGTCAACATTAGTTCTTTATACATTATTACAAAAAACTTGCAGAGGGTCAAATTTAATGTTTTGCATATTATATCTAATTTCTAATTAACCTTTTTAAAATATAATATTGTACTGTTTAATTAAATGTTTAAATTAATTTATCTTATTATTAATCTGTTATATACGTATATGACAAACTGATTTGTTTTTATTTTACATGCATAATAGGTACAAACTTTAGAAAACTTACTTTCAGCAAAACCGTTGCTAAATTATTCTTATTACTGTAAATTAAACTATTATAAATTTAAAAAAAAAATTATTGTCTATGTAGATATCATAGATTTGTTTTTTTTTTTATGTATATATATTTTTAATTTATAAAACTATGGGTAGGTATGATTATTATAATTTGAAATATTTTAAACATGTATAACTCACTTCAGAATAAAAATATTGAAAAAAAAAATTACAATAATAAAATAAAGATAATTTTCCTATCTTTAAGTTTTATAATAGGTTGATTTATTGTAGTACCTACTTATTCAGATTTAAAAGCTCTATTGGTTTTCTTCAAAGTAAATGTTAAGTGTATGTTGGATATTAAAATAAATGAAAATATGGGATATAGTTAAAAAACTTTTTATATCTAAAAATGATATGTTTTGATTAGGTTAGTGAATACTAACTAAACTAAGTATTCTAAGTTCTATTCTAACTATTTTTTTTTTTTTTCAACAAAATTCTATATTACGCTATCTGTTTCTATTAAAACAATAAGCTTAAGTGATAATAAAAAAAAAAAAAAAAAACAGACAGAAGAGACTAAAGGAAGAGGGCCTCCCATTGAAGGTACTTCAACATGAATATAATTTTAGGGTTTTGATTCTAGAAAGTATTAATAATAATGATAGTACAATGAATACATAATAGTTATTTAACAAAGATCGCGGTAGTAGTGATACATTTTTTTTTTTTTTTTAATTAATATTATATAAGCAGGTCACGACACCATTTTATTCTAACTATTTAATTTAAAATTTGTTGTCATTGTTATGTTTGACTCAATTTTATCTTGCATATTTCTTAATATATTTTATTTATGACTTATAATTCTACAGTGTTAACTGTGATTATCAAATTAACATAAATAAAATGCATATAAAATGGAGTCTCCACCTATAGCAATTTTAATAATTTAATTTAATCTATCTACAGTTTTTAAAAAAATAATAAACTATAAATAAGTACATTAAAAGTTTACCAATACAATCTATATATTTTTTCCTTTTGAATTTAAAATCTTAAGATTATTATGGAATGAAAAATTAATAGGTATTTATATTTTTAAATTGCATTTTCCTACGCTTTCTGTGATTTTTATTTATTGATGTCACCCTGTAAATTGATTAATCTAAATGAATACAACAATAACCATATGACCAATTACAAAATTACCTACTTACACTATTTACAAATAAAATAAAAATGAATTGCTATAGCAAAGATATTGGCCATAGGTGATGTCTCCACCATCTAGCTTACCTGTGATTGATAAATTAATATGAACAATAATAACTATAGAAACATTTTAAATCAATCCTCTATTTAATTGTATAAATTTATTTTTTTTTGTTTTTTTTTTTTTTGTTATGTGCCTGTACACAATTTTTCGACCAAACATTTTGCGCTGATTAAATACTTTGTTAGAACTTTTTTTTCTTATACAGTTTTTACAAATTTTTATAGATTTAAAATAGGATAAAAACTGGTTGTTCTTATTGATTTCTAGATTAAATTGCCATAAAGAGAAAATACATGACAAATGTATTCTGGTCAGAATTTTCATTATAAAATAGTATTTCATTACGCGCATCTACAAATTGTTAACGAAACAAGCAGTTCTTATATATTACATTTTCATTATTTTCTATCACCCTTATATTTAGAAATGACTACCTCTTTTGATTTTTAAATGACAAAATATATTTAAAATGCATATATATATAAATATTCTATATATATATATATAGAATATTTAAATGTTTAGAATGTTTAAATAAATTCTGATTTTGGAATTTTTGATTTTCATCAACCTGTTAACGATATATTCTACTTTTAAAGTTTAAGTAGAGGGAAATGAGTGGGCATTATTTGTGTGAGCATGGATTGCGACGTTTTAATAGTGCTCTACTACATTTGCCCTAGCCAATCTAAAGATCTTGGGTAGATTGCCATTCAAAAATCAAAAATAAGGGTGTCAAAAAATAATAGAAATGAAACATTTTAGAGTTGCTTAATTGTCTAAAAATCAAACTTTGAAAAAAAGTCAATACTTTTTGAAGTAATGAGTTTTTCAACAATAAACCTAAACAATAAAAAAATCAACTTTTATGTACTATAAATGTAGTAAATCTTTTTAATTATATAAAAAAAAAAAATAATAATTAGTTAAATAGAAAGAGAGAAAAAAGCTGAATGATATATTCTTTGCATCATCAGTAGGCCACTGATTAGGTTGGAAGTTGGGAAGGTATAGGATGTAGAGATATTTTGTTAAATTGGGTACCTACTCGGTAAATGCAATGTTAAAAATTGCAAATAAAAAACTATTTTGAGTTAAGCTTGTTTAATTGGCTGCCTTTAATTGGTTCAACTAATTGAAGTTTTTTTTTTCTATGTAGTGAAGGAAACTCAAAAAACTAAAATTCATGTATTTTCAGAATTGTATATTTATCCGTGCTATAGGTTTTGTCTTACAGGCACGTTGCCATTTGTTTTTATTTGATTGCTTTTATTAAAAAAATGTACAAGGAATTTCAAAAAATAACCAACCAAGTACACCAAATAAATGAAAAATGTTACCAGATAATCTTCTTGTTATATTTTCATTGGAAAAAGTCTTGACCAAATATTTTGTTTACATACAGAAAGAAAAAGAGCATACATATAGTAAAACTAGTTTCTATTCATATTATTTTTAGAAAAATAGTTTCTATTCAAGTATGTTTTTAATAGAAGGGGGAAGAGGTGCAATTAAAAAATCTGAATTTTACTAATTTAATAATGATAAGTAGGGGAACCGTATGAAAATAATGTTAGTAAAATAAGCCTAAACAATAATTTTAAAAAATCTTCTGAAAAAAAAATACTTGTTCATGATAAAGGGATCATTCTGTAAATAAATATATTTGTGTATAAATGAATGTATTTCATATTAATTTTAGTTCTGTATTTAACCTTAGAACATTAGACTGAATGCATTATTTATACAATATTATGTATTTACCAGATTTATATCAAATTACAATGGCCTATGCATACTGGAAATCTGAAAAAACATCAGATACTGCTGTATTTGATTTATTCTTTCGTCAGAATCCATTCCAAGGCGAATTTACCATATTTGGTGGCTTAGAGGAATGTTTAAGATTTTTGGAAAATTTCAACTATTCTGACAGTGGTAAGTCTTAAACATATTTTCTATATAGGTTTTTCATAAACTATAAATTTAAGAAATAAAACGTAAATTATGAAAATTATTATGTTATTGTTGAATGAATATTTCTATTACAGAAGTCTAGTATATTTATTATCTTTGAATTTAATAAAGTTAAACAATTCATTTTGTCTATTGGTCATTAACAAACTAGATAACAGTAGATTCTTGATACCTCAAAGCGAAATATATTCAAGTAATTTTCTTAGTAGTTCTAATCAATATCATACAAAAATTAGTTTAAAATTAATATATTCATAACTTACAATAGTAAAGTGATATATTATATATTATTGTATTATAATATGGTGAAATTATGTGTTAAATATTAGTCATAATATTTTTCACAGGTTGAACGTATTACTAATATATACAACTTTTATGATAATTGTATCATATTAATATTGTTTTTTTACAATACGGACCTTTACATATTTTTTCTAAATACAATGTATTTTGTTGTGTCACATTAGACTGAACTATTAAAAAAAATAACTTGTTATTATTTTCAATTTTATAAAATAAACTATCTGATGCACCCAGTTTTGTCTGAGTTACCTAATAATTTTAAGCTGTCTTGCCTGGTGTTGCCAGTGTCAATGTTTTAATCTTTTCACTTTTATTCTTGTTTTGCTTAGCTCGTATCAATATATTGAACAAACAAATATGTAGAAATTCACTTAGTTTTGAGTTTTCACATGATTTCTTAGAATATTCGAAAAAAAAAAAAAACAACAGTCAGAAACATTTATTATACAATTACAAAATGATATATATAAACTAAGTTGGTTTTATTTCTTTGGAAACATGTTAGAGGTAAAAAAAAAAATGCAAATAAAAAGTATCTTAGGCTTATGAGATTATAATTAACTGTAATAAACTTTATATAGTTTATGATAACAGTAAACTGTAAGATGTTAATCATTCTTTGATTAGCGACATATAATATACAGGATGATTTACTAAACAAGTTAGCCCCATTTTTATGGTTAAATTTTGCATTTGTTAAAGCCGATAATTTCAAATACTTAGATTTTTCTTAACATTTAATACAATTTCTGGTTTTTTCAATAGGAATCTATATTAAAAATTCTGTAAATAGACTGATTAATACTTTAAATAAATTTTGGTGTTAACATTTTTGATTTCTATTGATGAGATATTTCATTTTTAAGTTTATTCAGCGGGAAAGTAGTGGAGTATAATTTGGAGCATATTATTAGTACTTCACTACTCTCCCTCTGACTAAACTTAAATGTGAAATATCTCATCAACTAAAATCAAAAATATTAGCACCAAAATTTATTTGAACTAATACTTCATCTAATTATAGAATTTTTAATATAAGTTTTCATCTCGTGTTACTAAGGTAATCTATACAAATAAATAAATAATTTAATAATAAAGATGGTTGATTTTCGATAAGGAGTGGAATTCAATAGCTATAAAAGCATAAACATTTCCCCAATAATGCGGATCGTTTTGTGAAAAACCACCTAAATATTGGTCCAGTAGTATATGAAATTTCACATTTATATACATATTCATATATAGATAATAATTATAAATTAATTTAAAATCTTTCAAAATTCAAATAAATTATCTAATATTTAATAATTATTGTTTAATGTACAATTTGTTGATTGTTTCTTTGATTCATGAATATTTTTCATTAAATAATTATATTACTGAGTTCTAAAGATTTAAATTATTCAATGGCAATCATTTTTAACTCTAAAGTAAAAAATCAATCTAAAATGTTTGTCTATATTGGATGTAAATTTAAAGCAATGATTTTAATTATTATTATTAATATTTGCTTAAATTAAAATGATATATTATGAGTGCAGTTAAGTTAATGATTATTTAAGATTTGAAATAGTAATATTATGTATTATCTTCTATTTTTATTTATATAAAAATGAATATATGTCCTTTATACATTATTGTACTATTCATCACCATGATACTTTGGGAAGTTGTTCCTCGTTATCTGAAGAAGGTTTATATATATTGAAATCTACCCCCTATTAAATAACATGCCCTAAATTTTGGTTTATAGGTATTTTTAGAATAAAAAACAAATTATTTTTGTTGATTCATGAGTTACCTTGATAACAGTGGTAACACCAATGAAAAGAAAAAAACATTATTATTAATTTTTATACGGCAATCACTGTTATGTGGATAACTATGGTTATAACATATAATGATTATTTATCTATTAACTTTATTTAAAAACTTTTTTATTACAACATTAAAGCTAGATGAGACAGCTTTTATCATATATACAACTATTGCATTACCAATATTACATGTGCAAATTGTTTAATAAAGGTCATTTAATTTTTTAATAGTTTGTAAGTAATTGTTAAAATAATTAAAAAAGTTATAAATATAAGTTTTGATCATAGTATACAGTATATGCAGCGCTGCAACTGGCAGAAATGCAAGACATAATCCAATGGGTCTAAATATTCATAAGAAGCGCATTTTTTTAATATAGTTGTAATTTTACTTAATGTAAGAGGATGTAGGGCACTATAATTTAACTTTCACTTGAGCACTCAAATACATAGTTATGAAAAACAATTATACTAACTAGGTATTATTATTATTTAATTCTCCTTATTATGTTTTGTTTTTAAACCAATCACTATTACATAAAGTGTCATAGAATCATTTTATATTAAGCTAAATAATACAAATGGGTTTTATCAGGGGGACCCAAATGTAGAGAAAAATTAAATTTTATTATCATTCCGTAATCATTGAAAACAAAAACTATATGTTTTCACTTTTTCAAATTTTCATAATAGCCAATCTGTAAAATTATATTTCATATATTATATTATTCTAAACATTTTATTATACCATACTTACATATTCAATCAATAGTTTCTTAGTAATATCTGTTTTATTTTCTAAAAAATTTGTGTGAAAACAATTAATTTTCAATAGAAAAAAAAATAAATTGCGCAATAAGGGAATCTCAATCAGCACAGTAATTCCTTATATTCTGTTGAATATTAATTTTATTTACTACTTTTTTCTATACATTAAAGTTGCTATCACTAAGAAACTATTAATCGGTTATAAATGTATGATACATTCAAAGTTTCAGGTTTTCTCGAAGTTAGTGTTCCTCTGACACAAAACCCAATTGAAAAAAAAAAAGAACATTGAAAAAATTAAGTAGCATTCTAATAACATTACGGGATACTCTATATAGTAGATATTTTGGAATTATTAATGCATATTTTGAATATATTAAAGACATTTTTATTTCTTATTTACTTTCTCAAATATGTTTACAAAATCATAGTATTTGTTCTGCCATATTTTTTTTCTAGTATGACTTAGTTTTATGAATTTTATAGCAGTACCACAGAAACAATGTTATCATCCCCACTACACATCTATTAGTTTATTCAATAAGTAATTTTAGAAAACAATTTTTGTGTTTTTCAGACATAGAGTATTTAAAAACTACATTACCGCCAACAATTGAACAATCATTTTTCACATATTTAAAGGAATTGACCGCTAAAGATGTAAAGCTATATGCAATTGATGAAGGCTCAGTAGTGTTTCCAAGGTAATTAAAAAGGAAATGTAAATTATTTTATTACTTAATTGTTTATGGACTTTATTAAGATAAAACAGGTTTTAGTTAAGTGTACAAAAATAATTAATACTATAATAAAACTATGTTTATTATAAATTTGGGTCATTGATGTTTTGTTTGTGAATACAATATCTAGTAATGTAATTTGAAACAACTGACTATAGAAGCTTTGGAGTAAGATATGTTTTAGATTTTAAGTAGACCTAAGAATATATTTTTTTTTTACAATGATGTTTATTTTTATTTTTTCTATGAACAACTTTTCTACCAAAAATGTTGTTTTAATTTTCAAGTGTAGCACTTTTTCTGAAAGGAAATTAGACTGTGGTAGCATCTTAAAGTTGTCATTTTTTTGATTTTCCCTTGGATTTTCAAGGAATGTATTATTTTCTAATCTTAAGTAATGCAGCCTTTCAAAACATATAACCGAACTCTGATCAAAATCGTTTTTTTTCATTATTAATGGTTAATTGTTGCACACATATATAAATTAAATTTTAAACCTCTTTCTCTCCAACTGCAAAGTACAGGGTGATCAGAATTTTATATTGCAGCAATTTTCTCCTGCAAATATTCAAAATAGAGAAAAATGTTTAATTCTAAAGTTTCTTTATTTTTAAACACCTAAAATATAATTTGTACATTTTTTTTTATTTTACTGAATGTTTTTTAGCGATGGGAGTGTTAACTTTTGAAATTCAAATGGGAACCTATATTAAAACAAATTCTATAAATAAATGGAATAATATTTTAAATAAATTTATGTGTTGAAATTTTTAATTTCCGTCAGCCCATTGATGAAGTATTCAACTTTTTAGTTTAGATAGAGGGAGAGTAGTGAATACTATTCAAACTCCGCGCGCTGTGGTTGCTTATATTATAGTTCAAAAGAATTGAGTTGTCAGACTGCACTGAGATGGTAACAATATTTTTAGTTGTGCCTTCTATATTGAGTTTAGATAGTGGTTATCCATCCATTTACGTACTGGTAGAGATCTACAATTTTCCTTCACACTTCATTTGCTAGTGCTAGTTGATGAACTGAGCATTTCAGTTCCACCAATTAAGGTGAGGGTTTACTTTTGGTTGGAACCTCGGAGTCTAGACCAAGTGAAAAACCTGTGAACCTTTCCAACCTCGTCGAGGTAGATTCTATTTAGGGGGAAACCATAAATCTTGCGCACAAAGTGAAATATGTAATAATAATTAAAACATTATGTGTTAATAGAAAATAAATTGTCTTATCAATTATTTACACAATCAGTATATAAATCATGTTTTAAAAAGATTATTTGTTCATATATTTAAATCCATTTTATAATTTTATATTATTTATAATATAAAATATTATATATTTATTTTTCAGAGTGCCTTTAATTAGAGTAGAAGGACCTTTAATTGTTGTTCAACTTCTAGAAACTACTTTACTAACATTGGTTAACTTCTCTAGGTAGTTATAATTAAAAAAAAAAATATTTTTCAAATTATATTTAATTTTTTAATTTATTTAGTTTGATGGCAACAAATGCAGCTCGATACAGAATGGCAGCAGGTGATACTGTATCATTATTAGAATTTGGTCTGAGGCGTGCTCAGGGTCCTGATGGTGGCTTGTCTGCTTCTAAGTATGCATACATAGGTATGTAATTTTTACTTTAGTACCTTCCAAAAGTGGAAATTTTCAATAATTATAATCACATTTTAAAAATGTGTTGTGTACTAGTTGAACTTGTTTATTGATTGCAATTTAAGTAATGTCAGTCAGTGACTGGTACTAAATGAGTTATGAATACTAGGTACGTGTTTTATTACTCACAGGTAATCAACACTAAACTTGAACTCAAAGTTATTTTGCATAGTATGGTATATTTATTTTTTATAATACAACATTTTATCACGAATTCCTTTAAACTACTTATATTATTTAAAGTTTAATTTAAATGTTCTGACAGCATAAAAATTACCCTTCGTGTTTCATTTGAATAATAATTACTTGGCAATATTATTAACTTCAATGGTTTTAATGTTATTATGTTTTAGTATTGATTTTATTTAATATTTATTATATAAGATGTATAGTAAACTTAACAGTGTTGTTCTTGTTAGTTAAATTAAATTTTTAAGTGTGATAATTAATGATTATTATATTATGAAATTAATTATTAATTTAATATTTTTAAATATAAGTAGACAATTTAAAAATACATTTATTAGTGGATTAATAATATTATTGTCTTATTTATGTATTTATTAAATAAATGTCATATCAATTTTCTCATTGAGGAGTACTATTTGCATAATATATTTACAATGTACTTGGTCTTAATTTTAACATAAACACAATGTGTTATTATTAGTTAAAATTAAGAGATGTTTTTTCAAGGTTTCGAGTATAATTTTGTTTAATTTTTTTTTTTTTTTAGTTTTATGTAATGTATATGTCATTTCTAATAAGAAAAAAAGAGAAAATAAAAATGCCTGTTACTTTCGATTTTGTTTTTAGATTCTGAGTGAAACTAATAATCTGTTGATTTTACTTTGTGTGTTTTATTTTTTCAGTCTGTAAATAACTTCTTCTAGAAATCAAAACATAACAAGAGATCTTTTTTGTCACATTTTGGTTCTAGTTGGTACTTTAAAAATGTTTAGAGATCTGAAATGTGTACAGAATACTTGTATAATAATTTTCTAGTAAAATTCACATAGTTCTACTGGTATAGACATGGTTTTTTTTGGTGGTATTTGGTTATATGTGGATTAAATTGTTTTGGCCAAACAGGAATGCTTAAAATTTTACATAAGGTTCATCATAAATTTTATTTGGCGGTAAAAAAAAGTTGGGTTATATTTTTATTTTTATTTTTATTATTATTATTTTTTTTTTTTTTTTTTTTTTTTTTTCATGGTGTGAAGTTTAAAATTTGATGAAAATCATATATATCAAAGCATTTCAAAATATGTTTAACCAAGCTTCACACAGAATCGTTATTCATGTGCAATAATTTATAACTGTGTACAGATTTAAATTTTATAGTTCTATGTATTCTAACTTCTCGCCTTCTAGAGTGGTACACTTGTTAGTAATATATCAGCCTATTTTTACATAAGTATTAATAGTATTAAAATTGCCATAAACCATTTTCGCCATCAACTTTCTCTTGTATCCTGATTAGTTATGTTTTTTTTTTATAGGAGGATTTGATGGAACAAGTAATTTACTTGCTGGAAAAATGTTCAATATACCAGTAAAAGGTACTCATGCTCATGCATATATAACATCATTTTCTAATCCAAGTGAATTAAAAACAAAGGTATTTAATCAATCCATAGTTGTATTAATAATAATTAAGAATTTATTTAATTACATTAGACCTATTGGTTAAGGACAATTAAAATATCACTTAATCTGTACTATTCAAAGGCAAGTATAAGCAAAAAAAAAAAAAAATGATATAGTTTTAATAAAAGAAAATGTGGAAGAAGTTACAATAGGCTTGATGAATGGAGAGCAGCACTTGAAGGAAAAAGAACTAAAGATAAATAGAAGTAAAATAGACTAAGATAGTTTTGGAAAGTTTAGAACATTGGTAGTCAATCCAAAGTAGTTGGGATTAAGGCAAAGAAGAAAAATAGATTAAAACTATTTTAATATTGTTTAAGGTTACATATTTTCTTACATATTATTGGTTTTACAATGTTTTTTTTAAATATGTGATCACTTTCTACCAGATAGCTTACTCCGATTATCAAGCAAAGCACTTTTTCTGAAAGGAAATGTTCTCATGATTAAAAATAAGGTTGTCATTGCAACTGTTTCATTTATTTTTTGTTATAATTAAGTTTTGTATTATTTTAATCTTTGTTAAATTATTGTTGTCATGGAAAAGCACATTATAATCATTTTACTATAATATTTATTTATTTATTTATTTATTTATGTATAATAAACGGGTAAAGACCCGTTTTTGTAGGCAGTACAGGTTTAAACATTTAAGTATTTTATAGTTAACAATTAACATCTCGATTTAAAACAATAATAATAATGAAGCTANTTGTTTAAGACTAAATATACATTTCTTTTGAAAACATTATGTGACATAAAGAAAAAATCTACATTATCAACAATAAGATTTGCTAGCCTTAATGCTCTAGGAAAGTAAGAAGAGGAGCTGTAGTTATTATTATAAAATGGAACATGAAATAAGTTTGATTTTCTTAAACATATAACATGTATATTGTTGAAAAAGCAACACTATCAACTGAACTCCACTCAAAATTGTTAGCAATGGTTTATCATTGCATACAGATATATATTTAATTCCTGTTTGTATCCTAACTTCCTACATACAATAGTGACTGCACCTACATGCAAAGTATGTCCTTTTTAATTTTTTTGGTATTTAATTTGTATATCTTTAAGTATAGTATATCCTATTCAAATATATTAATAAATATATATAAATATGATATATATATATATATTTTGTGTTACTTTATCTGTTTATTATTTGATTTAAGACTCTCATTAATTTGAACAATGGCAAAGAACAAGATTTAATCGACTTGACCTTATCATGGCGTACCAAATTAGCAGAGCTTTTAAACATATCTGAAAGTCAAGCATCTGACGGAGAACTTGCAGCACTTGTTTCATTTGCAATTGCTTTTCCTGAAGGTTTTGTAGCACTTATAGACACTTATGATGTAAATAGGTGAGTAATTATGCTTATTACAATAAATATTAAGTGATTCATCTAAAAGGTGATAGCCTTATTTTACTTGGTTTGTAATGCTTTAGATGTAACTTTTGGGATACTTAAGGGATATTTATCTTCTTTAAATTTTCATGAATAATATAATTAATTATATTTTTTGTGTTGAAATATTTTTTAACATAGCTTTTATTTCAGTAAAGCAAGTAATTAATTGGTTTTGCAACGTGTGTGTGTGGTTTATTTTATTTTGTAGTCCTTTTATCACTTTTGTTGATTTTAGGAATACTTATAGATTAAATAATGGATTTAGAAGTTAACTAGCCTTGAGATGGTTATATTTAATAAAATATATACTTTAAAATCTCCCAAAAAGAAATTCCACAAACAATTAAGTAATATAATTTTCTAAATACTTGTTTTAAAAAAAATCCTTTTTGGTTATTATATTAGTAGATCAAAAAATTATTATTTTACTGATAATTTATTTTAGATTTTTAAACGATATGATGTTTAGCTAATTTCAAATTTTGAGTGTATGAGTGTATAATGTATATACTATAAAATCATTTTACATATCTTTGTGTACTACTAAAATTTAATTATTTTTATAATGAAATTGAATATAATCTAAAAAGTGACATTATACAACAAGTTAAACTTTGTAGTGTTTTTAACTTTTGAGTCTCTGGAGTTGTGTTATATTGTTTGGATGGTAGTGAGGTTTAAAATTATATAGCTGAGGTTCCCAAAGTGTGGATCACGACTCAAAAGTGTGTCGCGATCATATATGTCATATATATCATAATGTCTATATAATAGTCATCCATGTAGTACCTACTACAGTTTATATAACTTTTCAACTATTTATAGCTTCATATTTGTATTTTAAAATTGTTAGATAAAATATTCTGAAAATCATATTGTTAACATAGATGCTAGTAACATAGTCTAAAGATAGTCTCTCATTCAATATTAATAACTTGTTAGGTAATGCAATGATAAATTTTATTTGTAGCTCAATGTTTAATACATTAAACAATTTACGGACGGATCATGGGACTGGAGATCTAGTATAAATTTAATTGATTGGTTAAAGAAATTAATTAAACAAAAGCAATGAATGTATAAGTTTATAGTTTTCTCTAAATTTGAATTATGAACACTATAATTTTAAATATTCTCAAAAAATTGAAGATACGTTCAATAAAGCACTTTTGTAAAACTGAACTTCACTGAAAATTGTTTTTCTAATGGAATTACTTATAGAAGTAGTGCCACACATACCGATTGAAATGTGGCATTTTGATAGCCATGACGGAATGCTGCCCGTTGTCAAACTAGAGGTTTTCAATGCTGTTGAAAATAAAAAATATATCTATTTACCTTGGATTTTAAAAAAGTGAAATTTTCAAAAACACTGCCCAAAAAGTTCAGAATTTCTCCTTCATAGTCTCCTTGAAAAGAACGGATTATAAGATTATAATTTATCAAAACATGTTTTGTTTTTTTCCATTTTCTTTTTATGTGTAATTCGCCAAATCAAGTGATTTTTAGATTCAAAGGATATAATAAATGGTGCTAAAAATAAAACATATGGTGAATTATATTTTGTATAGTCATGAAATTGCATCCACGTATATATATATGTAAAGTGACAATAGTGATAAAATACATGTTAATGGTTAAAATTGCTGGCTTTTAAAATGTGCTATCAAATACCATTCAAATCAATTTTTTTCCAATAAAAATATGCGTTTTGGTAATTTCACAAAACACATGTTGAATTGAGTAATGGTTGATGGTTGCTCAAACCTACTGTTTTGGCGTAGTTTATCTGTATCTGGCTGTTTTGATAGTAAAAAAAATGAGGCATTTCAAACGCAATGTGTGGTGCTGCCCTTGTTGTTTTCAAATGCATAGGTAACACTGGCTTATTCTGCAGAGGTGAAGTAGTAAGAATTTTTTAAAACTTTATGTTCTCTTCACTTTTTTTTTGCTTTAATTTATGTTTATTTATTAATCATTTATAGCATGTTTTATTAATTTTCTATTTACAAACTATACATTACAATTGTTTTCTTACCTTAAATAATATAAAAGAATAGTTTAATTTAGAAGTAATATTGTTGAATCTTTAAAATATCCCAAAAGTTAAATTTTAAACTGTACAGATTTAATAATATATAATTATAATTATAAAATAAATTGTTGAAATTTCTTAGAAAACTACTAGTTATAGGTATTTATTTCAAATTTTAGATAACATTCTAGAATTTCTAGTAGTTTCATTTTAGTAATTTCTTCATTATAAGCATTTCGGTAAATTAAAATTTTTCATTGTGTTTCAAAAACACATACACAAAAATTAAAATGAAACCTACAAAAATTAGTTTTTTTTTTCTGTTCTAAATATTACAGGTGGCACTTCTTAGGACCAAAACAACTACCTGTCATTTCAAGTTTTGGGTAAGATTTCCCATTATCCATTATTAGCATGTGTTTGACCATGGGAAAAATGCTGATCGCTTTTAAAATATTACTTATTAATTTTAAATATAATAACAATAACAATAATTTATATTCCATAACCATACTTCACTTAAAAGTTAAAACCATTACAATATTTATATTTTACAGCATGTTAAATTTACATAATTTTTTATTGTTAACACATGCTTAATTAGGTTCGATGGTTTGCACTGAATTTTTGTATTAATTATTTTATTTATTTGAATATTATATTATAGTTACAACTTAAAAAATTAGTTTTTATAAATATGTTTTAAATATTTATTTTTTTGTCTTATTTTTAGAAGTGGTATTTTAAATTTCTGTGCTGTAGCCTTGGCGTTAAATGATCTAGGTTACAAAGCTATTGGAATAAGAATCGACAGTGGTGATTTAGCATATTTGTCTAATAAATCTCGGGAAACTTTTGTTAAAGTTGCAAAAGAGTAAGTTTTTATACTCTAAATAAATAATAATACTATTTAAACTATAATATGTTTAAATACCATAGGTTTAATATACCTTGGTTTTCCAACTTAACCATTATTGCATCAAATGATATAAATGAAGAAACAATTTGGAGTTTAAATGATCAGAAGCATAGTATTGATTGTTTTGGAATTGGGACACATTTAGGTAAATTAAAATAGTATTTTAGTATTGTTGTTTAAATAATAATGATACAATGTGCTAAATTATTTGAATTCAGTTACATGCCAAAGACAGCCAGCTCTGGGTTGTGTATATAAACTAGTTGAAGTAAATGGTCTCCCACGTATAAAATTGAGTCAGGATGGTAGCAAAATTACAATGCCCGGTAAAAAGGATGCTTTTAGATTATATGGTGGTGATGGTAAGTAAAAATGTCAACTTTTTTAATTTATAATATTATTAATATTATTAATATTTTCTTTTAGGATTTGCTTTAATAGACTTATTGCAGAAGTCTGTTGAAGATCAACCAATAGCCAAAACAAAACTTCTTTGTAGACATCCATTCGATCAAAAGAAACGAGCATTTGTTGTACCATCAGCAATAAAGCCATTATACAAAGTAAAATTATATTTCATAGTTTTATGTTATTTTTGACATAATTTAATATATATATATAATTATATACATAGCTTTATTGGGGAAATGGACATATAATGCAACCACTACCAGATTTACAAGAAATCCGTGAATACGTTAAAGAATCTTTGAGAACAATACGTCCAGACATCAAAAGAAATCTTAATCCTACACCTTACAAAGTAAGCGTTGTAACAAAAGTATATTTTGTTTATTTATTTATTTAATTTTTTTTTTTTTTTAATTATATGTATAAATTAGGTGTCTGTATCAGATGATCTATACGAGTTCATGCATGAATTATGGATGCAAAACACTCCTATTGGAGAATTGTCTTGATGCAATACTTGAAACAATACCATCATCAGTTACCAGCTGTCAAAATAAATAACAATAGTCCCATCAACATTATGCTTGGATGTGCACTACACTTATACACAAGCTTTTAAGTTGATGACTTATAATAATTAATTTTGTGACCAAGAAGTAACTAAAGTTTCCAAACATTGTTGTTTAAGTATATATATTTATACAGAATATATATATAAATACAAATTATTAAACATTTAGATGCCAATGTATTTATTACTTGTGAGCACAATTTCTTGATAAACAGTATGTTTAATGATTTATTTTGGTTCCCTGGTAGTTAACACATTTTGAAATACCTCAAACTTTACACTGATTCATTTTATTATTATACAATGCATATTATACATTGAAAACTTGGGCTTAAAATCTTTTTTAATTAATCACAAAACAATTTACAATCGAAGAACAAACCAACATAAATCAAATAAATTCTAGTCTCGACTATAATTATTTAAATGATTTCTTAATAATTACATTTTGTTTTGTTTTATAATGTATGTTGTGCTAAGAGATAATTACCTAATGTCTAACTTAATTGACAATAATATTGATATCAGCATATTGTGGCATTCCTTTTACTTTCTCATATTTGAGACAAATATGGTTGTTTTATAATTTAAAACTATTTGACATTTAAAAAAGAAAGAAAGGAATATTGTTAAATATTTTTTATTATGTTTTTTAGCTAAAGAAATTTTTTAGTTATTTAGGGTATTAGAAAAAATATGAAAGTTAATGTTTTTGTAATTTTTTTCTAAAGTTTATTTTTGTACTTAATTAATTTTGTTGATTTTTTTTTAATTTTACAGTTATAAAATGTACTATGTATTTAATAGATAATTTAATTTTAAAAAGCTTGTATATTGTATAAAAATATTGAAAACCATAGAAAAATTACACTTGTCTATTTAGCATCTAATCAAAGTATTTTGTTTTCATCAACCAATAAAGTAAACATTTATTTTATATCCTGTAAGTATTTTTTTTTCTCAATTATGTTATTCTGAATAATAGAATTTTTAAATCAGCAAACTAAGTAATCTTAGTAATTCAGTTCTTTCACTAATTCACTAATTGTCAAACAACTAATACATAATTAAAATGTGTTGTTACGGCCATATATGGCACTACCATATATTAAAACTCATTACTCATTAGTCATTGACTTAACAGTTCAAAGTATTATTATAACTCAACAGTGTTTATTTAGAAGCTACGGTTAATTATTTAAATCATTATTTGTATTAAATAAATTGTGAGCGGCTCTCAAGAAGTAATAGAAATGGATAAAAGTATAAGTTGGTAGGTATATAATATACATCACACTACACCACTATATAAAATATGTGTGAATGTATTTAATATTTGAATGAAATTTCTATTAAAATTGCATAGAGGTAATTAAAAATTGAATTCAATGGATACCATTTGTTTGTAAACAATATTGAATTGATTTATTGATTATAACATGTCAGGAAATTTATTGCTTGCATTCTATGGTGATTTACTCCATTGTACTTAGTTTTAATATGTCTAGTAGGTTCTGGGGCTCAATAAAAATGAAATTTTGAGTGAAGATTAGTGTTTACACATTTTAAAATGCCATAATTTTTAAGATTTTCAGCAAAATTTGATCATAAAACTGTTTAAAAAAAGACTGACATATTTTGCATGTTTGTGCAGCTACTGTTGTAGGCGGGAAGTTGGGAAGGTAAGATATAGAAGGGAATTTAATGTACAAGTAGTGATAGACCATTACTAATGATTCTGAGCAGAGTTCAGTTGATAGTGATGCTTATGAAAAGAATAAAGGAATATGATACATAGATTAACAGTTAAAAGGTGTATTAAAATCAAAATGTATATTATTTTAATATAGCTTGGTCCATAGTGTGTGTTGCTTTTTCAACAATGTGCATTTCCATGACAATGATTGTTTAAAAAATATTTTAAAATAATAAAAACATTTAACATTTTGTTAATATTAACAAAAAAATAAATAAAAAAGATTTCCAATGGCAACCTTATTTTAGATTCCGCGTGGAGCGAGAAATGCATTGGTTTTACAATGATGTTTATTTTTATATGAACAATTTCTATCAGAAAGCTTACTCCGATTATCAAGTATAGTACTTTTTCTGAAAATAAATGTTCTCTAGGTGGTACTTTGGAGAGGTTATTTTTTAATATTCGAGATAATAAGGAAACTTGGTTCTTTAGCTTAAAAAAGATTAAAATATTAAAAATAACTTGGTAATTGACAACCGTTATTATGTTTTCATTATTTTAAAATGTTTTTTAAACACTCCTTGTTATAAAAACGTACATTGTTGTAATTATTTTACCAATATGATTTATATATTGTTGACAAAGCAACACTTATCAACAAAACTCCACTCAGAATCGGTTTTTCGTTAGCAATGATTTGTCGTTGATTACAGATATACATTAAATTCCCGTCTGTACACTACCTTACTAACTTCTCACCTACAAAAGTGACTGCGTCCACGTATTAAGTATTTCAATCTTTTTTAACCTAAAGAACCAGGTTTATTATCTTGAATATTAATAAGAATTTTAAAAAATAACCTCTCCAAAGTACCACCTAGAGAACATTTCCCCTCAGAAAAGGTGCTATACATGATAATCGGAGTAAGCTTTCTGGTAGAAAAAACGTTCACATACAAATAAAAACATCCTTGTACAAGCAATACATTCCTCATTACGCTCAGAATCTAATAAACAACTTCAATACACTCAGCATTTTTTTCTGTAACCAGTTTGTACAATTTGTAATAATCCTCGTTATAAATTTACAATCATTTCGATTTAGTCAGAGAAATTAATGCACATTACACTTACCAAATAAAAACAAATAAATTAGAAAACGTAAAATGCCTATAGAAAGCACAAAACTCCCCAGAATGTTTCAAGTACCGTTTCTAGATAAAGACAATATACGTTTTCTGTGAAAATTTCAGGTCTCTATATATATTTATAACTGAACAGTAATGAAAAATCAAATTTGAAAACGTTATATCCATACAATTCCCCATTCATTCTTAATTTAAAAAATCTAGTTCTACTTGTATAGCTAGGTACACAAAAGTTCGCTCTGAAATTAATTATGTTAAAATGTTTGGACGTTTGGTTAACGAATAATATTAAATAGAAAGAAAATTCAAGAAAAATTTAGAATTTTCTACGTTATAACATTTAATTACGTTGTTATTCTATAAAATATTTTTAAAAGAAGTTTGTATTAGAAAGAAATGCTAAAGTCTGAAAACAATTTCTGATATTATTGATAACAGTGTTTTATTGTTTCACTATTTTGCATACAATATATGTATGCAATTATAATTCATATAATATAATATCGATAGCCTTATGTCTCCAAATGATTTTATTATAATGTAACACTTAAAATGATAAGGACAAAAGGGACTGAATAGGCTACCACAAAGACAAATGAACTTTATGACCCTTATTTATGGTACCTAATTGCAATTACCAACAACTATAGTTCTATCAGTGTCGTAATTCCGGGGAGGGAGGATTACAGGAGCACTTACTCCAACTTTTTTAAAACAAATTTTTAAAATTAAATTGATTAATTTAAGTTAAACTATAAAAAAGTATGAAGAACAACAAAATAATAATACAATCAAAAATACGCAGACCATAATTTAAATATTGTAATAATGTCAAATATAAATATAAATGAATAAAAAATTCAATTGAATTAAACTAAAATTGCTAAAAATTACTTTCAGTGAAAGATGTTTTTTTGAAATTCACAATGGTAAATGAAAAAAAAAAATTTTGTTCAGGTCAGTAAGTAATTAACATAGGACATATAAACAAAAACGTACAAAGATGCCGATATCAATATTAACATTTTGTTTTCTACGAGAAATCCACCGAAATCCAATGTAACATGATTTCTGAACGACAATTTTGTTAGGTTGATGCGTGAGAAATACACGTTTTTCAAATTTCAGCGTAATTTTCTTAACAGTTCCTAAATACCAGGAAAAACGAAAAAGTTTATAGGAAAAATGGTTTCGTGTTATAATTCGGTTAACGGTAATCGTACAGATCTAAAATATTAAAAGATACNTGCCGATATCACTATTTACATTTTGTTTTCTACGAGAAATCCACGGAAATTCCAATGTAACATGATTTCTGAACGACAATTTTGTTAGGTTGGTGCATGAGAAAAACAGGTTTCTTAAATTTCCGCGTAATATTCTTAACAGTTCCTAAAAACCAGGAAAAACGAAAGAGTTTATAGGAAAAATGGTTTCGTGTTATAAATCGGTTAACGGTAATCGTACAGATCTAAAATATTAAAAGATACCTAAAATCATTTTCTAGACGAAGTTCTTGTTATAATAAATTCCGGTGTTTTAAATCTGTTACGATATTCTAGGAAAGGATCATTTGAAAACGACTATGAGGATTAATTAATGAGAAATATTAAATATCTGTTTCTAAAAGCATTCAAGTTTGTTCCTATATTAATCACGAAAAGAGGCCTTACAAATTGAATCATTTGTAATATAAAACTCATAAAAATGTNGATACCTAAAATCATTTTCTAGACGAAGTTCTTATTACAATAAATTCCGGTGTTTTTAATCTGTTACGATATTCTAGGACAAAGGATCAATTGAAAACGACTATGAGGCTTAATTAATGAGAAAAATTAAATATCTGGTTCTAAAAGCATTCAAGTTCGTTCCTATATTAATCACGAAAAGAGGACTTACAAATTGAATCATTAGTAATATAAAACTCATAAAAATGTAATGTTTGGACGTTTGGTCAACAAATAAAGTCAAATACAGAGAAAATTCGAGAATNGATCATTTGAAAACGACTATGAGGATTAATTAATGAGAAATATTAAATATCTGGTTCTAAAAGCATTCAAGTTTGTTCCTATATTAATCACGAAAAGAGGCCTTACAAATTGAATCATTTGTAATATAAAACTCATAAAAATGTAATGTTTGGACGTTTGGTCAACAAATAAAGTCAAATACAGAGAAAATTCGAGAATACTCTAGTCTTCTCTAGGGGGACGGTAAATGCGTTTCACGAGTCATACCGAACGTTCTCGAAAATTCAGTCCAGTTCAGTTGACAGTGACGCTTTGTCAACAATATATATTTATATATAATATTACGGTAAAATAATTAAATAGGCATTGTATATTATCTTTAATAATATTTGTTTAATGTACCGATTTTCCAGTTTTTCCTATGTTTTTCAAATTTGTTGAGGAAAGGTACCTCCCTAGTGATATTTTCTTTCAAAGTGCTGGCATTGTAAATCGGAGCAAAATTGTAGGTAGAAAAGTTGTACACAGAAAAAAAANTGTTCGCTCCAATCGAAATGTAAAATTTCATGACTATTAATTTCGGAAGGGATAAATAATTTAAAAAATAGTTATCAACATTTTCACTTATCGACACAGTTTCGATATATGAAATAATTTTAAAATTTTCCGATAGTATTTATATACTAGTATAGGCATTTATAAATTACACCCAACTAGGTACCTATTTGTTATAAAAACATGTATAAGAATTTTCCAAAATAAACAAGCAATTATTTTTTATCGCAAATATATGTGAATACCTAACGAATAATGTAAAACACGGAGAAAATTCTAGTCTTCTCGAATTTTCTACGTTGTTACGGTTAAACGAACGTCGGATAGCGGTGAAGGGGTACGGCGAATGCGCTTCACGAATCATACCGAACGTTCTCGAACATTCTCTCGACTATATAAACGTAAACAGCGCGGCGACCGACGTCAGTTTGAATTCGAAAGCGATCTTGTGTAGTACGCATTTATCAAGCATTTCAACGATTTTCAGTGCGATTCGTGCGATTCACTGCGAATTTCTCTCAAGTGCGATAATTCATAATAACAATTTGTATTTATTTATTTGTTCGATTGTGAAATTTACGATCAAAAATCTACGAAATGGTCGGAAAAACGGCAATCGGAATTGATTTAGGTACCACGTACTCTTGTGTGGGTATCTGGCAACACGGAAAAGTCGAGATCATCGCCAACGACCAGGGTAACAGGACCACCCCGAGTTACGTTGCGTTTACGGACACGGAACGATTGATCGGAGACGGAGCCAAGAACCAGGTGGCCATGAATCCCAGCAACACGGTGTTCGATGCCAAACGTTTGATCGGCCGTCGGTTCGACGACGAGAAGACGCAAGCGGACATGAAACATTGGCCGTTCAAAGTGGTCAACGACTGCGGGAAACCGAAAATCCAAGTGGAATTCAAAGGAGAACGGAAAGTGTTCGCGCCTGAAGAGATCAGCTCGATGGTACTGACTAAAATGAAAGAGACCGCCGAAGCGTATTTGGGTCGTGACGTGACGGACGCTGTCATTACGGTGCCGGCGTATTTCAACGATTCGCAGAGACAAGCGACTAAGGACGCGGGCATCATAGCCGGACTGAACGTGATGAGGATAATAAACGAACCGACGGCTGCGGCTTTGGCTTACGGTCTGGACAAGAATCTAAAAGGAGAACGGAACGTGTTGATTTTCGATCTGGGCGGCGGTACGTTTGACGTGTCCGTGTTGCAGATCGACGAAGGATCGATATTCGAAGTAAAGTCCACGGCGGGAGACACACACTTGGGCGGCGAAGACTTTGACAATCGGCTAGTGTCCCATTTGGCGGAAGAGTTCAAGAGAAAGTTCAAAAAGGACGTAAAGAGCAACCCCAGAGCTTTGAGACGGCTGAGGACCGCCGCCGAACGTGCCAAGAGAACGTTGTCGTCCAGCTCGGAGGCCACCATTGAGATCGACGCGCTGATGGAAGGCATCGATTTCTATACCAGAGTGTCTCGAGCCCGTTTCGAGGAGCTGTGCGCGGATCTATTCAGAGCGACTTTGCAACCGGTGGAAAAGGCGTTGGCGGACGCCAAGTTGGACAAAGGAGCCATACACGACGTGGTGCTCGTGGGCGGTTCTACGAGGATCCCGAAAATCCAGAGTCTCCTCCAAAACTTCTTCTGCGGTAAGCCACTGAACCTGTCCATCAACCCGGACGAGGCGGTAGCGTACGGCGCTGCCGTACAAGCGGCCATTCTCGGCGGCGACACGAGTTCTGCTATCCAAGACGTGTTGCTCGTGGACGTGACCCCTCTGTCACTCGGCATCGAGACCGCGGGCGGCGTGATGACCAAGATCGTCGAGCGCAATTGCACCATACCGTGCAAACAAACCCAGACATTTACTACTTACGCGGACAACCAACCGGCCGTCACTATACAGGTATTCGAAGGAGAAAGAGCCATGACCAAGGACAACAACCTGTTGGGAACTTTCGACCTGACCGGCATACCTCCGGCGCCCAGAGGTGTACCGAAAATCGATGTAACTTTCGATCTGGACGCTAACGGTATTCTGAACGTGTCGGCCAAGGACAACAGTTCCGGTCGTTCCAAGAACATTGTCATCAAAAACGATAAGGGTCGTTTGTCTCAAGCCGAAATCGATCGTATGCTCAGCGAGGCCGAACGATACAAAGAGGAGGACGAACAACAAAAAGTCAAGATAGCGGCAAAGAACCAGTTGGAGAGCTACGTGTACGGCGTGAAACAAGCGTTGGACGAGGCCGGTGACAAGTTGACCGAATCCGAGAAAAACGCAGGTAAACAACAGTGCGAAGCGGTCATCCAGTGGTTGGACAACAATCAGTTGGCGGACAAAGAAGAGTTCGAGCACAAACTAAAGGAACTGCAGAAGAGCTGTTCGGAGCTAATGATGAAATTACACGGCGGACAAGCCGGAGGACCACAGGCCGGGTCGCCTGGAGGTTGCGGATTCCCCGGATCACAATCTCGAGGACCGACGGTTGAAGAAGTCGATTAATTATTATTTGATTGTATAATGTGACTTTTGTTGTATCGTGTTATTTATTTTCTTGTAAAATATTCTCAAATGTTCCAACTATTAGACTGATTTTTTTTATGTTTTTCAAATATTTGTACCTATGTATATGTTATTTTAGTTTTTTAATATAATTCATTATGTACTTAGTATTTTATTTTCGCGAAAATAAATTGTACCTTATAAGAACATTTATTGGCTTTTTATTTATCTAGTGTTATGTGCTAATCCAATGTACCTTGCGAATAACTTCCAGCAGGTATTATTCTTCGATTGTCGATTATTGAACTTTTTCTGAAGGGAAATATAACGGGTTGTACTTTTTGATGACTGCGTTGTGTTTTGATTTCCCAGCTATTTGCACAACAAATGGGAAAGCACACGTGAACATTTTGTAGTTATTATTATAGTAGGTCGGCAATATTCCTAATAGTTTATGTTAAATGATAAATTTCACTTTAAGCTTGCATATTAAGCTTGCAATATGATTTTTTTTTGTTCCGAGTGAAGCGAGAAATAATGTGTAGCGATTTTAATACGGTGTGTGTAATAATATTACATAGGTACCGTCGGTCAGAAAACGTCCCGATGAAGTTACTCTTATCGTGGCTGGTTTGAATCTTTTGTCCGGTCGTGGTATTGGTTTTTTGTTACACGAAACTTCGTCAAAAGCCGTTTCACTGCGCCACGTAAGCTTGGTGCTAATTACCAACGGTCTGGCATGTTCTGTAGGAGTACTGACTGCGAGTGAGTTTCTTAGTTATAATATGTTTGAATAAATAATTATAGTGATTTTTACTAAGATGTTAGTAAATCCGTCGTTTATTTTTTATATCGTCCAATTACTAAAATGGGCATTTTTTTTTTTTTGTAACTTTTCTATCAGGAATTTTACTTAAATCTAAAACTTTATAGGAACTTCTAACACATTTTTGGTACTTAGTCAGGGAACTGGGGAGTTTAGTTTTTGTTTTATTTTCCTTGTAGTTTTCTTAATAAATAAAATTCTTCTGTTTATATTCTAATATAATTTAAAGTATTAGTTATCATTTATATCTATCGTGTTGTGCACTTTAAACGTAAAAGCAAACAAAAATTCTTCTTTAACGCAAAGCAAATTGAGTTCATCATAATTGCTGGCAATTAGTTGTAATATTATCAAAGAATGAAAAATAATGGTAGAATGAAATTTATATACAAAGACTAGAAGAAACGACATGGATTCCAAAAAATATGATAAACCATTGCTAATAAAAAAACAATTCCGAGCAGAGTTCAATTGATAGTGATGCTTTGTCAACAATACATGTTATAATATAGTAAAATAATTAAATAGGCATTTTATATTTTTTTAATAATATTAGTTTAATATTGTATTGATTTTACAGTTTTCTTTGGTTTTCACATTTCCTGGGAACTCTTAGGAAAATCAAAAAATTACTTTCTTAAAGTACCTTAATCAGATTTTCTTTTAAAAAAATTGCTAACGTTGCAAGTCGAATCAAAATTGCTGGTAGAAAATTGTCCAGATAAACTTCGCTCCATTCAGAATCTAAAACCACCCCCAATTTTTTGCTAAGACAATAGTATGACTGTTTACATAAGATGCACCTTCGTGTAAAATTGTATTAAAATCTGTGGAAAAATGATTGAGTTATAAGCTTGTAACATATGGATGGTCGTGACAAAATTATAGGGTTCTGTTTTTGAACTCTAAAATGACTTATTAAAAATGGATATATTTTTTGCAAAAGAACAACTGAAGTGGTACCTATTTAAAATTAAAATTAATAAAACAAATGAAAAACAAATATATTTTTAAATATTTATTTATATTTTGTGTAAAGATAGGGAGCATACAAAACTGTTATTTAACTACAATTTTCACTTGTTTGTTTATATACAATAAATTACCTAATTAGTTTCAAACATTTTCCAAATTATATTTCTATATTTCTATTTTTAATTATAAGTTGGTTATTTAGAATAATAACATAAATAAATAAATTTAAAAGTTAGGTTAAATAAAATGCTAAGTGATAATGAAAGCGATAAATCAATAATTTGCATAAACTACATTGATAAATAAATAAACATAATACCATCTAATGTAAATGATAATAAGTAAAAAAATTCAAAACGTTTAATTTAAGTTAAAAAAAAAAAATTACATTAAGATATTTAATATATTTAATATTTCACTTTATTTTTATAAAATTATCACAATAACTTGTTTCAGTTATATAATATTATTGTTGAGAGGAATTCATATAATTAATAATAGTAACTCAGTTTTAAATTCACAAATGTTTAGTAAAAAGGGGTTATTAGTAATGAAAAAGATTAGTTATAATTATTGAGTAAAATAATTTGTATATAAATACAGAAAGAATAATAATTATACTCGTTTTATACCAAATCATAATATAACTATTAAAATTGTTAAAAACTAATTTTACTCGGTATTCATAAAAATGTATACACCAAATAATGAAATTAATTTTGGATGTTCAACATCAATATCAAAATACTAAGAATATAATAAATGCTGTAAGAATAAATAGTTTTCATTAACTTAATGTTCTCGATAAATATTACAATTTGTATTATTTAACCCGAAGCTTCAATAATAATGGTATTAAGACCTTTTGGACCAATTGTTGTTTTAAACTGTTCGGGTATTGGATGTTCAGAATAATCGCCATCTACTTTTGGAATCATTACATTCAATTCGGATGACTTGGATGTCACAATTTCTGTGTTTAACGAATCCTTGCTTAAATACATTTGGCAGCCGTCTGTTTTGTCTATAGTTATTGTTGGCACTTTACCCAGTACTTGCATTTGGACCGACTGACAATTAATAAATTCAGCAGATGAGACTAATGACTCGAATACCACAGATGACTTTTTACATGAATCCATAACAATAGAGTTAATCTTGTTTTTTACTGTGATTGTAGAGTTAACACATTTAAATATATAAACCACATTATTCATTTCAGCACCGTCAACCACAAGATTAGTGTTATTTTTTTGGTTTTCAATGAGCCACTTTTTACCATCACGTGCAAATACTGGAGGTTTTTCAACAATCGGTTTAGTAACTGGCGAAACAGATGAATGCCCAACATTAGCAGGAGCTGGTCCACTCACTCTCATGTTGGGATTTTTGTGTGTTTGCATATCAGATGAAACTTTTTTTAAACCTTAAAGCAAAATGGGTCAATAAGTAAATTGAATTATTTCTAATTATATTAGTTTACCTTTAGTGACATCAGCACCGCGATTAATTTCTGCAAATAAGGCTGAACGGTTAGTAGCGTCTGGATCAGCAGGAGCTAAACACAAATCATCCATTGGAGGCAAACCACATGGTGGTGGTGGTGGAGCAGGTCCACTAGATGGTTTTGATCCAGTTTTTGCCCAAACAAGTCCAGTTGTATGATATTGTTTGACATAGGCTTGAAGATCATTCAGAAGTTGTACCCAAGTTTTAGCCCACTCAACATGAGTTTTGTTCCTATATTAGTGATTAAAAGTATTCAGTAACAGTAAATAATTTTAATTTAGTAGAAAATAAATACTTTTCTTTCCATTCTTTGAGCACACGGTTTGTGTAGAATTGACCAGTATCGTTGCTTTCTTTAACATAAGGAGCAGGAGTAGGGGACTGTAAATTTAACATTGTTTTAAAAATATTTTGACTAGGGATTATAGTAATTTAAAGCAGAATATTTCTCACCACGGCAACCCAACCTAAAGCAGTTATACTTTCACTGATGGCACTAAGGTGATTGAAAAATGGAGACCCACGATTTTTCTCTCTGAGTGTTTGGATTTCTTGGATTTTTGTACTTGTTGGAAGTAATAACTTTTGTTTTTCACTGTCACTTGGTGCACTATTTGCACTAGCATATTTTATGAATTGTAATTCAGCTCTGAAAATTGTGACCATTATTAATAAATATCATATCTTATTATAATTCCGTGTATAGTTTATAATTAATATGTATGTTACTTACTGAAAAGCACTGAACACAAGTGCTGCTTGAGTGGATACATCACCACCAATTTGATTGGACAACTGAACAAAACTAGTAAGTGGGCCCTGGATAAGATCCTCAAACCCTTGTACACTCATATTGAAAGGGTAAATTCTAAATAAAATAAAATAAATAAATATAGTTAACTAAAGGTATATACCTGCATTTTAAACTTTTGAATTTGATTCATGATCAAAATCTGTGTGGGTGTGTTAGAACAGAAGAGGTATCTAAAAATAGTGAAATGTGTTATTCAGTAGTATGACCTAGTTACCTATTTATAATATTTGACACAAATATAAAAATAATATTTTATATAATACTTCAACATAATTTTTTATTTATAGTAACTATCACAATACCACTGATTATAAATACAATTATAAGTTTTTACAATAAACAATAATACTAATATAATCTATTTCTTTTTTCTTTTATTGTAATTATGTTTAATTAATTTTTTAAGAAAAAAATAATTTATGACATTTAGACAATTAAATAATAATAAAAACAATTTATACTTCTATGCAATGGATGGTCCACTTATGATTATTATTATACATCCTATAACTATTTTGAGTATAGAACATTACAATTCTACAATAATTAATTTATTATCATAATTGTATTATGTGACTACAAATAACTGTAGAATAATTAATAATATTAAGTAATTGAGTTTTATTGTGGTACAACTTAGAGGGAAATTAAACTGTTAGTCTAAGTAAAATTAATAATATAAAAATTAGATTTTTTAAAAAAATAACATAATATAACTATAAAATTCTATACCATAAATATTTTATAATATTCCCATTGTATTCAAACAAAAAATAGGACATTCATAAATAAAAAATCCATTAGTTTCATATTTAAAAAAATCAAACTTGTTTACATTTAATGGTACTATTTGACCTCAATAAAATGTTATACTTACCTACCAATTCAGTTGATTACTGAAATATTAAAATTATTGAATAGTAAAATTTTATTTTGTTAATTTTTCTATTTAATGAAATAATAAAATAAATTATTTTATCTCAACTTAATTTAGCTTATAAAACCTAAAGTTCTTTAAATTTTCAAACCAGTTTGAGTTTGAAGAACAAAACAGTTTAACTATTTCACCAAGTATTCAATAATTTTCCAGTAATAAATTAATAAGTAGTTTTTTTCTTTAAAAATATGTATTTATACAAACATGCATTTGTTAAGTACATTTTGTAACTGATATTCTCTTTAATATTTCAATTATGGAGAAAACTCATTAAATTTGTCGTTCTGACCTGATTGCAAGAGGCTGCTTGTAAATATTATATTATTATATTATTATTAATAATTGGTTTTCCTTAAATTTATTGAATTCATAAAAAATACAATAGTAAACTATTGTTGGCAAGTAGATTGATATAACTATAATGTATAACATAATTAACATTATTTTTCTTTAGCAACCAATAATTATTACTTATGTGGATACTAAACTCACCGATCAAAGAGTAAATACTATTGCACATAATTTAAATTGTAGAGAAATACTTGCATTAGTAAAATGGTGACTCACCTGGATAATAATAATAAATAGGTATTGATTTCCTTAAGCAGAAGAGGATTTCCGGATGTCGCGGTTGCGAACGCAAGATCAACACTCGGGAACGAATTCAATCGGCAACACAAGCTTTGTAGTATTAAACAAGACGAGAAACTAGAAAGGTTTACACACAAATATGGTAATAAAACCAAGAACTTAATCGGAACGAGTACCCTACAATCTACATACAAAATAGATGAATTTATTTCATTGATGACTGAGGGGGCTACATTATCTATTACGATTCGCCGAATCACTGAAATATCGCGATCAGCCGACTGGTGTTGCCAACGAAATGTAATATAGTTGAGAAAAGGGAAATGGTTAAGTGCACTTTACCACGCCCCTCACGATTTTCAATTTTTTTTTTTTTATATAGACGCGTTTTTCAACGCTGATTTTTAAATTTTTTGCAGAAACTATTATTGAAAAAATTAAAGCAAAAAAAACTTATCAATTTTTCAAAACAAAATTTTTAAAAGACATGTTTTTTAATGTTGGAGATGATAACGCAATCAAAGTTTTTTATTGATGAATATTTTAGAAATTATAGCGATTATTAAAGTTAGTAGTTTTTAGGATTTCACAAGTCCGAAATATTATAGTCTTATAGTTTTTGATATTTTTTTTTTACGCCCTGTTATCTACCAGATGTGGTTTCACACAACAAATCGAGGGTTATTTTCGTTTAAAGCAGTCGGAGTGAGCGCAGCGAGCTATAGAGACCTCGTCGCGATTCTAGATGAATTTATACCACGAGAATGTCTCGAATGTCGAGCCAAATCTAAGTGAATCTGATGAGTGATAAGAGCGATGAAATTAATGACGCCGATTCCAAAAACCGCACATTATTGTGATAAAACACAGGGCAAAACATTACGATTTTAAAAATTATTGTACCAAAAACTGCACATTTTATAATGATATTGATACCTATAATCTATCATTTATTATTTACATATTTATCAAAAAAAAAAGATGGAGTCAACCTGACTGCCATGCTCAGAGGAGTTTATAATGTAAGAAGTTTTGTCAACACTATCATAACACTAATGACATATTCACATTATGGTAAAATAATAATTAATAATATAATTACATATGAATTAAACATTTTCTTTAATAATATTTGTTTAATATTGTACCTATAAATATTAAACATCATTGTAAAACCAATACATTCCTTGGTCCACTCAGAATCTAAAATTAGGTTGATACTTAAAATAGTAAGTTTTGCAGTAATATGTCGATTTTTCAAAAAGTTCACACATATGAAAACGAAAAACCGCAGATAATATTAATTTATTTTATAAACACAGATTAATTCAATTTTCTAAATTAAAAATAATGTTTGTAACAAAAGTATTAGAAGATTTATTTTAACCTCTCCTCCTGTATAATTTCCTGCTCATAATATATGACAGACCGTTGTAGAGGTGTATTCGGCAAGGCAGGGGCGTCTCCAAACCTTGATAATGGGGGGGGGCCGAAATAATTAAATTTAATATTAAAGATTGATAAGAAAAACAGACTGACACATTTCACACGATGGGTCGACCCACTGTTATAGATGAGAAGTTTGGAAGGTAGGATATTGAGGGAAATTTAATGTTTATCTGTACCTGAGTATATTTAATTATTGCAAACAAAAACGATTCTGAGCCGAGCTCGGTTAAGAGTATTGCTCAGGGGCGTCTTCGGATCAATTCTAGGGGGGGCGAACAATTTTTACCATTGAATACTACCGCTTTAGTTATAATATGAATTATAAAAATAATAAGAATAATAATTAATAAAAGTTAAATGAACAAGTCCAAAATACTTTTATTTTAAACAGCGTTTTGCAAGCAGTTTGATCAACAATATTTTCTATATTAATGTTTTCATGAATTCCATGAATATTTAAAAATGATAAGCTAGTTATCTAGCCTCTGCTCAATATTTTTTTTACCACGAAGTACTACTTTTAATGAACCTCATGTTAAATTATTAAACATTTCTGTTTGGTCTAACAATTTTATCCACAGAGTACCTACCGGATAAAAATTACGTACAAAACTCGCAAAATTAAAATGTCTCTAAATTGCTCAAAACTGTTACCATGTTAAGAAAAGGAAAAAAAAATGGTGTCTGTCAAAATTTAAAGTCTATAAATATTCTTAACTTAATTATAACAAAAAACGAAATTGAAAATAATAAAAGCATTATTTTCGTATATTTGCCCGTTTTTCTTACGTTTTATCCTAGGTTTTCCTGATATTATGAAAACTGCTTGGAAAATCAAAAAATGACCTTCTTAAAGTACCATCTAGTTAATATGACTATATTTTCTCGCAATAAAAGTGCTACACTTACATATTGAAGCAAGATTTTTGGTAGACATTTTTGTCACAGTAAAACAAAAATCATTTAAATCCAATAGGTACATTCTTCGCCACAATCAGAATCTAAAATTTAAATTAAAGTAGCTATCCATTATATCAGTGGCTGCATACACGTGGGAAATATGTCCGTCTTTTTATATTATATTGTGTTATGTTTGTAAAGCGTTTCATTTTATTATATTTTAAATTGGAAAAATAATTCGTCTCGGGGCGCTTTAACGTGTAACTACGTCACTGCATTTCAGGTCTTTATACAATTCGTGACACACGCAACATTTCTGTCATCGTAACGGTGGTCGGTGAGAGTGCGGCCTTAGATGAGAGCACGATTTAAGGTTTACAATATAGGCATCCTAAATCGTATATCTGAGAATGGAATCTGTTAATTGCATGAATCATAGACCTTCTACGTTATACTTTATAGTTTTACAGTATACAATTATGAATGAATAATTACTATAAAATCAATGCTTATATTTACCAAGTACGGATAAAAAAAAAAAAAACTTCTTTTTAGATCTATGGTATGAAGAGATATTCTTGACGGTAGTATCAGCTGTGTTTTCATATGTTTAAATGTTTAATAAGGCTACATAGACGTATTTAGACATATATGTCTATGGCAGGCTGTGGTCATGAACACGGTTATAGATAGAATTTTATCTGTAATTAATTGATTATGAAAATACGCTCAGAATCTAATAATAATAAAAATATGAATTATTAAGATTATTAATTATGATAATATATTTTTAAAAATTCCATTATCAGATGAAGTATTAAATTTGACATTTTTGATTTCCGTCAACTCGTTAACGGGATATTCCACTTTTAAGTTTGGGTAGGGGGAGAGTAATAAAGCCACAATTCAAATGCCGCCCGCCGTGACACCAAACAAAATGTGATGTTCACTGATCAGTACTCCGCCACTCTCCTCCTACTCAAACTTAAAAGTGGAATATCCGTAATCCACAGGTAATAAAGAAATGTAGGTATAGGCCACTCACATAATGATATTTTAAATGAGGCTATTTCCGGAGTAGCGGAAAACTGAGGTGAATCACCATATAGATAAAACACCTCACTTTATGATAAGTACTCGTGGAACACTGATAAGGTATGGGTGGCCTATCCATTTCTTTGTCAATGAGTTTGTTAAAATCAAAGTTCAAAAGGTATTTTAACTAATAATCTATCCATTTATGGAATTTTTAGAGTCCATGGATATATCTTTGTGGGACACTCTGTAAATATAAAAATATATTACAATTACAATTATACGACAGTAGGTACCTACCTAAATTATAGTTGTATAGTAGTATTTTATATTGACTCATTAACAGGTGTACGATAATATCAACATAATATCTAGACCATAGACTTGCCTAATAATTTTTTGTTTCAGAGTTCGTTTTATATGGTCGCGCGATATTTTATAAATATTTTAGGGTGTCTATTGAGTGGTGTATAATTATTTCCTAAAGAATTTTCTGAGCATTCTGAATAATGTAAACAAGTATTATTGATTTCTTAAAATTACAAGGTCAGTCCAATGTAGTATAACTTGTGCTGCTCAATCTCTTTGTTACCTCTTAGAAAATGTCATCAATACCGATGTTATTAAAGGTTTTATTTTTCATTAATTTCTAATACATATCTTTCTTCATTTTTCTAATTTCAGGAGAAACCAGTTATCGATATGGAAGGCATCAATATTCAAATTGAACCATGTAAAACATACTTTAGTGATGGATGTGTTGAAACCATTGAAGCTGATGAAACAGATTTACTAAATGGAGAACAGAAAACCATTTCAGATGAACCTGTTGGTATTATAGTTAAATAGTTATTATGATTTAAGTAAACAATTTGATATTTCCAGTCAAATTGGCCATCGTGGTTACGTAAACAGTCAACAACTATTGGGTCTTCTGCATTAAAAACAGTAGATTATCTTGGCGAGTCTCTGGCTAATTTTTTTGGTATCACTACACCGAAATATCAGTTTGAAATTAATTACCACAAAAACATAGTACAAGAAGTAAGTATTATAAATTTAAGAATAATGATTAAAAAAATATTTTTTGAGTATATTAGGTATTTAATTTATTAAATTAAACTTTATGATAATCATTCAACTGAAAATATCCATGGTTCCTTATTTAAATTTTTTAATTATAATAATAATGTATTAAATTGTATACTACTATATGTAGAAGTATCTCAGAAACTATTTTCTTTTCCGATTTAATCAGTATGTGATCTATTTGTATTTTAAATGGTGATCTACTAAACATTTGTACAGTGCTTATTTATTGAAGTGGCCAATTTTTTTTTTTTTTTTTTCTGATGTACATCTTTGTATCACTAACATTTTATGGTATAAATTAGCTTGATTATTAAATCATATACCTGCTAAACTTAGTTTTCGCTCGTTAGGTTATGTATTGAACAAATGTCCATTTGCCAGATTCCTACGAGTCAAACTACTCCACCATTTAAATGCCTTAACTTGATTCAATGTAGTCTATGATCACTACATAGAAATACATAGTTTATATAAATTAATTTTTGAATAAAATTTCTTTAGATGAATGCAGAAAAAGTTATGGATGAAGAAAATATGAAAGGATGGACCCAATCACCACAAAAGTATACTATTACAACAGAGCCATGTTAAATTTTTATTTATTTGAATTTGAAAGGGGGATAATTTAAATATAAATGTCTAATAAAAAATGGTTAATGGTTAAGTGTTTAATATAAAAAAGCTTCATATAAACATTATTCAAAAATATCATTATATCACAGACAGAAAGATCATTATAACAAAAATAAAATACATTTGGATTCATATTTTTTGTTGAAAGAAGCATATGACAAATGTACACAAATTATTTATTAATTTAATCAATTAAAAGAACAGATATCCTAAATGACACTATATGTGTCTTTATATTATAAATTTACATACCAAAAACTGTTTGCCTTTAATGTTTAATTCAATTAATAACGTGAAAAATACTGTTTAATATATTTCATAATAATACTTAAATAGTTAAATTTACTATTATACATTAATCAGATAATTAAGATAAATACAGCCACTATAGGTGAACCATAGTCCAACAATAGGTCAGTTCATCCTATAAAAAATCCATAATATCCATAAAATTACGTTTTTTATATATACTCACATTTTTGTGTACATCTTTGTAATATTTTTTCTTTGAATAGTTACATAATTGATTTCTTATAGACTATGATTGAAATTATTTTACTCAAATTATAGATTAATAATAATTATAATTTTAAATGTCTTAAATAACCAACAATTAATCACACAATTTATTGCCTTAATACTAATTGTAAGATCTCCTAATATTATATTTACCATTAATAATTAATATTATAATATTTATTTTACCATAAATACTGCAATATAAAAGCTCAATGACATTGAATAATATTGCTCATGCCAATTTTTTTTTTTCAATCAAACATTTGCATTTACAAATTATTAACTATTCAATTTATAACTAGATGATAGTTTATAAATAAAATTGCATTATATTATTTATTAACTTAATATATGATATTTATTGAAGAACATTTTATATGATAAATATTATTGGAAAATATAAATATTGATTATACATTTTATATTGTTTTTGGTTTTCATTATTGCTAATTCATATTATCTGATGTCTAATGACAAATACAACTATTACTTACACATGGTAAAAATGTTGCAGAGAGAAGAACATAGATAATATATTGCGCTCTTGCCTTAGTACATAACATGGTATACCTACTTTTATTTTTCAATATTGAAAACAACAATAATACATAATGTTATTAATATATTTTATGTAATATTTGGTTCAATTTTGTTACGATTAAAATGTATGCTTAATAAATAAAATGATTCACAAAGTAATCAACTATTCAATTATTCAACTTTTCTTTCACACACAAAGAAAAAATTATTTTGAAATGAGGTTGTTCGATAAAAAATTGTCAGCATTTTCGCCTCATAAAAAGGTTCTCAAAGAACAAAGAAAAATCATACATTGTTCAATTATTGTTGAACTAATAAATTACACACTATTTAATAAAGAATCAACAAATTAACATAAAGAGAATTTATATTTATTTAACAAAAGTAACTTAAATATTTATCACAAACATTACATGTATCAAATGTACTTAAAAAGTGTATGTAAAAAATCTATTATTAAAAAAAAAAAACACCAACATTTAAATAATAAACATTTTTTTCTAATAACAATAAATTACAATCTAAATTAAAAATTAGTATGAAGTCAAGAAGTATTTTCTTAATACTGAGTTACTTTAGTCACAAGTCAATAACTTATTAAGGTTTTTAATTTACTATTAATCAAATGATTTGTTTAACATTATATATACCATAGAAATAAACATATTTAATCCATAATTATTAATAATATTAATTATGGATTACAATAGATACAATTAGAAAATAAAAAAATTACATAATATTTGATAATGATATTGTTCTTATACATAATATTTATTTTCTAATTTCGAAAATTATATAGCATTAAAAAAATATAATAAAAAGTGTAGAAGAAAATAACATTTTTATATTTTTAATCAAAATAAACAAAACAAAATAAAAATTATTTAAAACAATGAAAAGGTAAAAATAATAAAGTATGAATTAACTTTCACAAATATGGCAATAAACTTAACTTTAACAAATATTTTAACATCTAACAAAAGTATAACAGACTTCACTAAATTAGTAAATTGTTTATTTTCCATGGATGGATTAATTTTACACCCAATGTGTTTTTCATGAGCAATTTTAATTTGTCTTCAAATTACCTATTATTTTATAAGATTCTCAAACTTACTATTATTTTTTATTTAGAAACTTTCTTCAATTTTGTTTTGAAAACAACTTGCATCGATTTTCAATCAACATTTGGTAAGTTAAGACATTAAAATTTATCAACTCTCATTACGTTCAATGAAATCCATTATTTGCTTAGTCACTATATCAGTAGCTTTTTGTGGTTGTGGTATTAAGAATCTAAATATGATAGTTAAATAATAAAAATTTAATATAGTACAAATAACAGACATTTATAATAATTATAATTTAATATAGGATTTTCGGCGAAGATCTACCCGTTGTAATATTTTTGGATATAATAAAGATAATAAAATTTTTTTTTTTTTTTTATTATTTACAGGGATAACAACTACAAATATTTATATTTCAATTAATTTTTATGTCTTGAAAAAAAAATAACTTTATTTTTGAAAAATTTAAAAATAATCATTTTATAGAATTTATTCTTCTGAAAATTTTGAGGTACCAGCTTTTTATTTTCATTTAATTTGTGATTTTTTATAGTTGTTTAAAGTCCAAAGAATGGTTTGGTCTATATATGGTTTACAAGAGTGGAATAGTAGTACTAAATTAATTGATAAATAATTCATATTTAAATCACCTAAATACTAATGTTACAAAAAAAAATTGTTATTAGTATTATTTATAAGGAATTAAACTAAGAAGTTTTATCAAAATAGGTAAGTATTCTTAAAATTTTCATAAACATACAATCAGTTATTGGGGTCAGGGAATGGAAGTTCAAACCTTCTAAAGGCATATCATCGGGACAATTCTATTTATCTTTATTTAAACTAGGCAAATTTGAACTAATTTACTTTCTTGCGTGGATCTGTAAGGGTAATGAAAATTTAGTATTTCCTGTGAAAACATGAAATACTGTATAAAAATGGCTGGGTGGTGAAAGTCGATACTACCGAGAAGTACATTCTTGATATATTAACCATATCTATACAAAATTTCTTCCACTGGCTTCATTTGAGTTTTAGAGTTGTACAAAGCTAAAAAACACCCTCCTCTTTCATCATGGTAAAGTTAATATTGAAATTCAACTAACATTAATATTTAAACCATCCTATGAAAAATTCTAATTTCGAAGTTTGAAATCTTTACAAAAAAAAACTAGAAATGCAATAACTTATTCAATACCAAATTTTACAGATTATAATATAAATCACAACAATTATTAATTACCTGTCTATATCTTTATTTGCTCCAGAGTATTCAAAAATAATCAAATCAGGTCGTTTCTTGCGACATTTAATATTCAATATAGTTCCAAGTGAATGATTTACTAAAGAGCAGATTTTATTAGAATCCTTAGGGTCAACTTCAACTATTACCAAGCTGTTTTTTGTCAACACCAATTTCCTAACATTAAAAATTATATAAATTTATCATATTAAACAATAAAAAGGCACAATTTAAATGCAAACTAAAAATTAATATATTACCCTGGAATTAGTGTCCCTTCATTATTAATATGTTGGCAATCAAACGATGCAATTACATTTGACTTATTTAATAACATTGACAAACTACCATTATGAGTTGCAAAATCTAATTCATCTATTTCAAATAATCAATGTAAAATATATGTTGAAAATTAAACTAAAAATTAAAATTTGTTAATACCTTCTGAATCTTGGTTATTATCATCCTCGTCAATTGCAAAAACAGGTGCCATATTTCTATATCTTTTACTGCTTCCATTAGTTTTTTCTTTTTTTGTACTATTATTATTACTTGACAAGAAATCCATTAATTTCCCTTTGACTTCAAAAGATTTTGACCTCATTGCCACGCTAAAAATTACATGTTTATGTAATGTGATTGACACAGATATTGTTAGGTACATAATTTGGGAACAAATCTAGTTTATGACCCATTCATTTTTCAAATTTTTTTTTCAAAATGTGTTTTTGTTTATATATTAAGAATCTAAAAAAAAAATTTGGGCGAACTTCATTTATTAGTTTTGGAGGAAAGTTTTTATGAATTTCAGGTTTTCCGTTTCACATATTTCTTAGTTAGAATTTAACATTTGCAATTTTTTTTTTGTTTTTTAATGCTTAATTTATTAGTATAATCAAAACTTACCCATCATACTTACTTTTATAATAATTGTAAATAAACCTTAAAAATAGCATTTTTGGAATTAATCCAAAATGTGGTCAAAAATAGACATTTTTTTTTATTATTATTATTTGTAGTTATTGATAAAAAAATGTTTAGGTTTATGTATAATAACAATAAAAGTAATTAACATAGGTAAGTTTTGATTATACCAATGGGTTAAGCATTAAAAACACATTTAAAAAAAAAAAATTGAAAAGGAGCTGGGTCGTATACTAAATTAATACTATAATTTGTAAAACACTGACCCGAGTTTGGAAAACATTTCATTGGTTGAATTCGTTTGGGCCAATCGTTCTTTATTAGGATTTGTATTACTTAAACACTGTGAACATCTATTACGATCGTGACCACTTAATCCATCAATATTATTTTTTTCAAAATGTTCATGAAGTGCTAATAGATTGAATAATCAAAATAATAAAAACAATCTAAATTTTTGAACGAGCAAACAAACCTTGATAGCCACCATTTAACATAGAAACATATAGATAATGCTTTTGAAGGAAAGCAGAAACGACCATGTGAGTAAATTGGTTAGCATCTAAACCACTTCCACAGCCTGAAAAACACCAATGTTCTCCTCCACCTGACCTGCCTTCAGCAAATCTCTGCTTTTGACAAGACAACAATCCTTCCACGGTAGTCCAAAAAGATATAGGATCTTCTAATAGCTTTAAAATATAATATTTGATTTAATAAGTTAATTATATTATGTTTATTCAATGGATAAATAGTAAAATAATACACACTAAAGTACTATCCAGTGGAAAAGCTATAGGTAAATGTCCAACATTATATTCTTTTGCGGGTCGGCAATCCATTACGAAAAATTTTAAACTGTTAGTAATTGTTCGATTTGTATGAGAAATCAATTCTGTAACACTGATTGGAAGGCATAACATTTGTGAAATTCCTTTGTCTGGTAGTTTAGAATCAAATATATATCCAGCAACATCCTGAAAGTAATTGTTTTCACTAAAAATATTTTTGAATAAAAAGAAGAAACATAGTTACATACTTTTTTAAAAGACGAAGGAGTTTTTTTATCATAATATTCTGCTAATGACCAGAAATCATTTATATCATCTAAGGCCAACTGTGATGGCAAACTTCCAATTATTTCAATTAACTGTGCTTTGGGTTGATGTTTTAATGAAAATATATGATCCCTAATTCATACATTTATAACTCAATAGGTACTTCGATAAATAATTTGTAAATAAAATATTTACCTGGCATTGATGATGAATACTAAAGCCAAGAAAAATATAAAAAATCTATCTTTTTTTTCCAAGTATAAATCCCAAATACTTAAAATTACTTCTAATGAACATGTTTCGGCAAATAATGTTTGAATCTAAATAGTAAAAATAAAACACAAATAGTAATTATTGCAATATATATTTTTTAATAAATTTAAAGTACCCATGATTCACTATAATGTTCTGGTCCTAATTTTAGCGAATCTAACAAATTACACATCTCTGGATCATGATACAACAATAATATACGCAATAAATGATAACAATCCCGATGCTTAGCTAAGTACTCTTCATCAATAGCACGAAACATTGTATATGTATCAATTCGAGGTAATCTTAATGAAACAATCGGCCGTATTATTGACGGCCATTTTTTATTCATATCATATGTATCTGTGTCATATATTTTACACATTGTCATAAGTATAGCTTCAGTGTCTGACAAACAATTTAACTTTTCTTCTTCATCATCAATTTCTAGTGAAGCTAAACATATGAATAGATATATTGTAAAATCTTTTTCGTATTAAAATAATGTAACATCTAATTATTTACAAACCAATTAACATTTGACAATCAACCTCCAACTGTTCTATATTTGTAATCTTTGGTTTCTCATCTAACAAAGTTTGAAAAGAATCATCTTCTCGTGTCAACAATTGACGCCACATCTGACCCCTGCATTCATTAGTAATCACAGTGAAATTTTCAGATTCTTCACTTACTGGAGACATATCTTTTTCACATAGTGCTTTTTCTAAGTCTTTCATCCTACATATAAACCATATGAAAAAAATTTCAACTGCAGTAGTGATAATATATTACTTACCATTTTTCATCATCTTCTTCTTCCGACATTTTAAATCTTACCTTACTATATAACTAAAATTGTCAACTCGATAATAAAATTTGAGTAAATAATATGTATAACAAAATTTAATTTAAACCAGATATTATACTTTAAATGTATTTAATATTTCCATTGTTAATAATCTCATAATAATATTATGTATGCACTTATTACACAGAAGCAGAACAATAGTAGGTACAGTCAAAAATCAATTTATGCCTTATCTGAAAACATTCATGAGTAAATTAATATAAAACGAATTTAATTTTTCTAAAATACATTACTACAGTTAAGTAATCCTAGAGATACTACTTATTTATCATTATTGTTATGACAAACGATAAGGTTTTATCAGTCAGTGTTTAATTACATCCATAACTGCGATTACCTACATCAAACAATATAATAAATATTTTACCTTCAGCTTATACTACGAACTTGAATTAAGTTTTTAGGAACTACACTGAATTGAAAATCAGATAATTTTATGATATGAAACCATAATAGGTACATTACAGTTTTAGTATTTTTAGTAAGTACATACAATAGAATTTTTTGGTTATGATTACACGCATAGCCTCAGATAGATTACACGTGTCAAAGGTGTCAAATTGACAAATTGAGATTATTAATAATTTCTTTAACAACATAATAATATACTGTATATTATACTATTATATATTTATGCATATTATAAGTGTTGTTTAAATATCATTAAAACCAAATATTTAATAGCTTAATGCAGTATATTTTTATCTAGTCTCGACTAGTGTAGTTGTATCCAAACATCGATTATAGCAATTAACAAGACCGAGGCGAAGGCAATACTAAATTTTGAATATTTTAGATAATGTATAAGTACTTAACCTATATCGTGTTATTTTCTTTCTTTTTGTCATTCCTCTTGGCTTTATCTTTATCTTAGTCTCACACCTTAACTTACTACAATCTATCGATTATTAAATACTAATACAAACACCAGTACTTACACATATAACGGTCAATTCAATTTATTAAAAAGTACAAGACATATCAAATTAACAAATAATTTTGTTTAGGTACTATAACTACTATAATTTGGTTAGGTAGGTATGTAAGTAACAATGTATAGAATACGTTAATAAAATTTGTTGATTCAAATCAGAATTAAGTAAATTGGTGAGGGAAAATAAATGCCGATATTTTGCAGGTGTATATGAATGTTCTTGTTTTAACGTCTAGTTTTCCGTTTTTTCCCTCTATTAATCGTAGGGGTGCCAAGTTATTCTTAGAAGTAAAAAAAAAAGATATATACTTACTTATATTTGCTTGATATAAAATTGTTTTAGATTTTAAGAGTAGAGAGTTTGTGAACAACTTTTCTACCAGAAAACTTGCTTCGAAGTGTAGACTATAGCATTTTTTCTGAAAGGTAATTTTCTCTAGTTGATGAATAGGGAAGGAAATTTTTTAATTTTTCAAGGGGTTTTCAAAATAATTTGGAAAACCCCGCAAGAAAATTGTTGGTAAAACGGCAAATATTTACGGCGTTACTGTTTTCATTGTTTTTTTTATGTTTGCACGAAGCTTTCTACCAAAAATATTGTTCCAATCCAAAAATAACAAATGGTCGATTTTGTACCTTTTAATATTTTGACACTAAAATTGATTAAGATTTACAACAGTGTAACGTCCCGGATTAATTACCTATTTTAATACGTTTAACTTATGATTTTTACCAGAAATATTACACCAATAGATAAACGCCAAGAGACTTTTTTTGTTGTATTTTTAATTTAGTTCATGAGTAAGCTATTGGTTTTTTCTTCTCTGTAGTTATATTAGTAATTAGAAAAAACCAGAAAAAAATGTAAAATGAAAACTGACAAATTTACGGCGTTACGATTTCATTATTATACATTTTTACCCTTTCCATTTTCTACCAGAAATATTACTCCAATAGAAAAATATTAAGATATATTTTTTATTAAATTTTTAAGCTAGTTGGTGACCGAGAGAGTCGTTTTTTGATTTTCATTGGAGTTTTTTTAATAATTGTGTAAAACCAAAAAATACGTGGAAAGAACGAGACAATTTACGAAAACAATTCTTTTAATTACTTTAAATTTTATTTTTTAATATAATTCAGTTTAAAATGTTTAAAGATACTTAAAATGTCGACAGAATACTTAAATTTATTTTTTTTATATGTGGTAAAACTTTCAAAACATTTGAGCAATTTTTGAGCTATTTATAAACATTTTAATTTTGTAATATTTTTACGTAATTTTTATTTGATTAGCAAATTTTGACGAAAATCATAAATATACGGCCTTTCAAAACATGTATAATCGAACTTTGCTTTAAATCGTTTTTCGTTATCAATGGGTTATCGTTGGTTACAGGTATAAATTAAATAACTTTATGTATCCCACTTTCCCCGCTACCTACCTACAACACAATTTATCACCTTTTCTAAAAGACATAATATTATTTTCACTGTCTAATTAAATTATTTTTCACTCTACCCAAAATTAAAGATTTTGGAGTAATCTTTGATTCCAAACTTTTATTTAATCTCCTTGATCTAGCAAGTAGCAATAAAGAAAAACGCCTTTTCATTAATCGACATGATCAAGCGAAATAATTCTAGCTTTAATGATCCATTTACACTAAAATGTTTTTTTACGCCTTAATTATTCGGCCTTTATTGGAATACATCTCAATCATATGGAAAACAAACAACATTGTTCATTGTAAACAAATAGAAAAAATTCAAAATAATATGCTTTGGTTTATTTGTTTTAAATCCAATTTACATAGACCCCTCTTTGAGTTATGAAGACATTCTATACTTTTTATAAATCTAAAATCATTAAAAGATAAAAGAACTCAATTTTACTCTTATTTCATATTCAAATTACTTAATACCGAAATAAATTATTTCTTTTTTTATATAGTGTACAAAAATTCTACCAGAAATGTTGCTCCAATATATATCTATGTGCGGCATCATTCCTGAAAGGAAATATTGTCTAGATGGTACCTTAAGGAAGTCATTTTATGACTTTCCAAGCAGTTTTCATAGTATCTGGGGAAAATCAGGATAAAACGTAAGACAAACGGAAAATTTATGAAAATAATGCTTTTATTATTTTTCAATTTTGTTGTTTGGTGTAATTCAGACAGAAAACTTATGCTTACCTTTTCTAGACATCGTAAAATATTTTTCGAAACATTTGAGACATTTATAAGCTTTTAATAAAAATTGTAACATTTTTGTTGAAATTCAGTTGAAAATATTCGAATTGACTCCATGGAATTAAAATTTGGACAGAAATGTATGTTTACTTTTTCTATCTAGACGTGGTAAAATTTTCAATAAATTTAAGCAATTTTTGAGCTATTTATAGTCATTTTAATTTTGCGAGCTTTATATGTAATTTTGATTCAGGAGGTACTGTGTGGTAAAATTATTAGACTAAACAGAAATGTTTGAAAATTTAACAGGTAATTCATTAAAAGTTTTATTTCGTGGTAAAAAAAAAATTGAATCTAATGTAGTGTATTTTTTTTATAAAGGAATTTTTGTTTTGAACATATGTACCAGATGATTCATTTAAGTGGGTATACTCATTATCTCGAAAAGTATTAATTTTTTCGGAATTTGTTTTCTAGAACATTTAAGAAACAAGCTGTTGTCTCTGTTTTATAGTTTTAGCAGTCCAGTTTTCCTATGTTATATCTCGGTTTTTTACATTTTCTAGGAAAACTCTTGGGAAAATCGATAAATTGCATGTTTATATTACCTCGCTAGTGAAATTTCCATTTGGAAACATTGCTACCATTAAAAGTTAGGATAAAACTGCTGATAGAAAAGTTGTGAACAGGAAAAATAAATCGTAATATTTCAGTAATATAATCCGTACATTTTCCCAGTTTTTAAAATTTGGTGAGAAAACTTTTGATAAAATTGGTGTTACACATAAAAATCCGAGCAAGTCTTCTGGTAGAAAATTGCGCATAGATAAAAAAAATAAAAAAATAAAAAATGTTTGTAAAACTATAAGCTTCTTCGCTCCACTCAGAATCTAAAATTACAAGGTTGCAAATAATTTATAAATGTAAAACGAATATATTATTAAATTATTCAAAATGATTTACTAAATATTATTATTAGATAATTTAATTAAACCTTATCAAATATTGACGAGAAAAAATTTGTGATATCGCTATCTAATACAAATATTGTACTGCTTCAACAAAGTCATGTAAATAATTTTCAGTCTATTCTCTATACCTTATGGTATACCTGTCCTATGGTACCTAGTCCAACCTACATAATATAACACTAATATATTATATATAACATTTTGATAACCAGTATTTTACACCAGCGGTTCCCAAACTTGCACTACTATGATGCTCATAGAAAATAGTCTAAGAGATTTGTGTAACACCTGCAATGCAACTTCAATACAACCCTAGTTGTTCAACAATTAACTGCAAATACAGGCACCTACAGTAGTATTGTGAGTGCATTTTTAACTTTTGGGACCATTGTTATTGTTGTGAAACACACTTTAGTAACCGCTTTTCTATTTAATAAGTAAAAAATATAGAACAGGGCAGAGGGCTATAAGATCATTATTATTATTTTGTTTTACTTACATTTTTGGTATTTTCATAATAATTAAACATATATAATTTAATCAATTCGTTTTAATCACTTAAACATTATGATTATCATAAATTATTACTACCTATACAATAATTATAAAAAAATCGATTCTATAATGGACTATAGACTCAAGTGACCTCAATATATTAAAGTAAAATAGTATGCATGATGTCCAAACTATTTTTCACCTGCTCATCTCGATAGATTTCCGCGTAGTTTGTCGGTATATGTAGGTAAATTTTCTTAATTGTTTCTGATTTATACAGATAAAGGTACAAGCAAAATAAATTTTAAGAGTGTATAAATGGATCTTGGACATATCGTCAAAACATTTTCACCAAAATCATTTCACCACGACTTTTTCCTCATCACTCAGTTTCCTCGATGGACCTATTCACCGTTACCAATTCGCCATGGATTGATTTGCCGGTGACTGATTTACCAAGCGACTATTTTGCTACCAACCATTTCCAAGCAAAGTTCGTTTATACATGATTTGAAATGCCGTGATATTTACGAATTTAATTTCATCGAAATTCAGTTAAAAATATTCGTAGATACTTGAAATTTTGATAGGAAACTTAGATTTGCTTTGATGTTATATAATTTTCAAAACATTTGACCCATTATTATTAGTTATTTATAGAAATTTAA